CAGAGTATTGTAATACATGAGGCAAAAATTGATAAAAGGGCAAGGAGAAATAGATGAGCACACTATTATAGTTGGAAACTTTACTACTCTGTCAGATCGGACAGATCTACCACACAGAATCAGTAAGAACGAAGTTGAACTGCATAGCATCTTCAATCAACTGTATCTAATTTACATCTGTAGAATACTTCCTCCAGCAACAGCAGATTGCACATTCTTCTCAAGCTCACATGGAACATTCACCTAGATAGACTATATTTTGGGCTGTAAAACACATCTCAACGACTTAAAAGTATAGAAATCATACAAGCTCTGCTCTCAGACATCAGCAGAATTAAACTACAAATCAGTAACAAAAATATAACTTGAAAATCCCCAAATACTTAGAGGCTAAACAGCAGTCTTCTAAATAACACATGGATCAAAGTAAAGAGAAATTGAAAAGCATTTTGAACTAAATGAAATTGAAAATACAACATAATTTAAGGGGTGCAGCAAAAGCAGTGTTTAGAGGAAATTTATATTAGAAAAGAAGAAAGATCTAAAATTAATCATTTAATCTTCTACCTTGGAAAACTAGAAAAAGGAGCAAATTAAATCCAAAGTTAAGGAGAAGAGAAGAAAAATAAAAATTTAGATCAGAAATCAATGAAATCAAAAATAGAAAATCAGCAGAGAAAATCAACAACAAAAAGCTGCTTCTTTGAAAAGATCAGTAAAATCTGTAAGCCTTTAGCTAGACTAATTAAGAAGAAAAGAGAGAAGGAACATATTACCAATACCAATAATGCAAGAGGGGATATCGCTATATATGGACATTAAAAGGATGATATAGGAATGCTACATACAATTCCATACCCCAAAATTTGGTAACCTAGATGAAATGGAACAATTCTTTAGACACAATTTGCCAAAATTCACAGAAGAAATATACAATCTGAATAGGCCTACATTTTAAAGAAATTGAATCAATAATAACATTTTATAATATTGTGATTTGTAAGAAATATATATTTGGTCATTCAGATGACCCAATTTCCCAAGTGTTGAGAGCCATAAATGTGTCTTTTGTTGTGCTAATAAGGTGACTTTTAGAAAGCACCTAAGATGGGGGCTGATTGCTGGCTGGAGCCAACCTGTGTTTGGAGGGTTGGAACTTTTAGTCCTACCCCTTGACCTTCAGGAGGGGAGAGGGGCTGGAGGTTGAAAGATTTTGTCAATGGCCAGTGATTTAATCAACCATGCCTGTATAATGAAGCCTCCAGGAAAACACGAAAGGGTTCAGAGGGCTCCCCAGTTGATGAACATGTGGCCCCCTCTGAAAGGACAGAATCTCCTTGCCCCTTCCCACATCTCTTGCCTTATGCATCTCTTCTATCTGGCTGTTCCTGAGTTAATATCCTCTTTTAATAAACCAGGAATCCAGTAAAATATTTCTCTGAGTTCTTGAGCCTTTCTAGCATATTAAAAGACTTGAACAGACCCTTCACTGAAGAAGGTAGATGGCCTGTAAGTATATGGAAAGATGTCCAACATAGGGAATTGCAAATTAAAACAACAGTGAGTTACCCTTGCCACCCCTATTAGAATGGCCTATCCAGAACACTGACAACACCAAAGGCTGGTGAGGATGGGAAACAGCAGGAACTCTCATTTATTTCTGGTGGGAATGCAGATGGTACGGCCACTTTGGAAGACAGTTTGATCATTTCTTTTTTTTTTTTTTTTTTTTTGATCATTTCTTATAAAACAAACATACTCCTACCAGGATCCGGCAATCACCTCCTTTTGCACTCCTTGTTATTTACCTAAATAAATTGAAAACTTACGTTTACACAGAGATCTGTGCATGGATGTTTATAGCAGCTTTTTCATAACTGTTAAAACTTGAAAACAACCAAGGTGTCCTTCAGTAGGTGAATGGATACATGAACAGGGTACATCCAGCAAAGGGGATATTTTTCACTGCTAAAAAGAGATGAGCTATCAGGCCATGAAAATACATAGAGGAAACTTAAATGTGTATTACTGACTTAAAGAAGCCAATTTGAAAAGGTTACATATTGTATAATTACAATGATATGACATTCTGGAAAAGGCAAAACTATGGAGAGTGTAACAATATCAGTGGTTGCCAGGGGTTTTTGAGAGAGGGAGAGATCAATAGGCAGAACATAGAGGATTTTTAGAGCATTGTGCCTATTCTATACAATCCAAAATGGTGGATACATGTCCTACATTTGTCAAAGCCCATGGAATGAATAACACTAAGAGTGAACCCTAATGCAAACTATGGACTCTGGGTGATGATGATGGGTCAGTGTAGGCCCATCATTGTAACAAATGTACTAGTCTGATGGGAGGTTTCGACAGAGAGGGAGGTCGTGTGTAACTGGGGAATAGGGAGTGAATGGGAACTCTGTAATTTCCACTCAGTTTTGCTGTGGAACTAACACGCTCTGAAAACAGTTTATTAAGTTTAAAAAAGATAAAAAAGCAGGAAGTGAAAATTTTAAAAATGACTCAATTTTACCTGTTTGTTTAAATCTTTCATGTTTCTTTTCCAGATATAAACTCAAAATTTGCTTAAACATAAATCAGAAACCATTTTTACTTACACACAAACATTAATAGTAATCATAGACCCCAAAGATAAACTACAAAAGCCTGTTCGACTCATCCTATAGTTGAAATAATATATATTTTCAGTGAAAAGTAATGTTGTAACATTACTAGTTTAAAAAAAATGTATTTTTTTTTTTAAATTTGTCAGGAATGCTAGTGCTTGAGGAAATACAGGTGCCAGGGGAGGAGGAAAGAAAATTTTTATTTATAAGCACTCAAAGACTGAAGCACGGTTTGGTTATCATGGAATTTTTCATTTCAGATAACTTTTTACTTAAAAAAAAAAAAAACCAAAAACCCACTAGTTCCAGTCAGATAAGGGGATTTAATGGGATGAAGATAGATTTGGGGAAGAAAGGAAAGAAAAGATCTTTTCTAGAAGGTGGAAAAATGAAATATAAAAGATATAAAGAAGAAAGTAACTTTATAAATAAATTGGAGATAATGAAACTGACTAGAATTTACTAATTGCTGAGCATTAAAATAAAGGATAAATGTAGTGTTATGGTCAATACATGATTCCACTGATACTGAGAAGGAAGCAGATGATACAGAGACACTGCTTTATTTTTGAATGACAGTACCAAGTATCCTTGGTTCAGAGTAGCTTGTTTTACACCACTAGGTGGCAGGGTAGAGAGAGGAGAGGCAGGTTGAGGTGGACGGTTCCTGGAGATACATTGAACAGTTACCTATTAGACTTGTGTCATGGGTCAGATGTATATATATATTTATGTGTTAATGTTTCATTTGTGTGATATTTCACATGTTGTGTTAAAGCAATAACATTTTGCTACTAAAATAATATAAAACTTTTGAACAGCATAAACAAAATGCTGATTAAAAATTGACTTGGTATGTTAGCGTGACCCAAATTTATTATATCTGCTAGGTATTTACTTAATTTTTCAAAAATAGTTTAAGGTTATAATTGCTCTATATACCTTTTCCTTATTTGAATCAGATATGAAATTGACAGTGAAAAATTGATATTTGCAGGGTATAACATTGTGGTATAAGTGAAGATTGTCTCATGTTAAGAGTCCTCATTTTTAGACCAATTTTTTTTTTTAATTTTTTTTTATTTATTTGAGACAGAGAGAATGAGAGAGAGAGAGCACATTAGAGGGGGGAGGGTCAGAGGCAGAAGCAGGCTCCCTGCCGAGCAGAGAGCCCGATGCGGGACTCGATCCAGGGACTCCAGGATCATGACCTGAGCCGAAGGCAGTCGCTTAACCAACTGAGCCACCCAGGCGCCCCTAGACCAATTTTTTTGACCATATTAGAAAAGATAGCAAATAATGGTCTAGATTCTGCCTTGAAAAAGTTTTTTTTGGTCAATCTATTCTTGAATGCCACTGAAGAGGTAACTATGTAGGGTAATACTCAGAATAGATTTTTTGTTTTTGTTTTTGCCTTAGTGTTTTCCCTGTATCTGGGTTTTCAATATGATTGTAGATTTATAAACAGCCTCACTCTTGGCTTCCTTTTTTCCATCATCCTAGAAAAATTGAGCTTACACATAGATTCACAGAATCCCTTGAACTGAGAGAAATGGTAGGGAAAACCTCCTTCAGAGGGTTTCTTTTAGATGGAAGGAACAGAGGTTAGACGCCTCACTCCAGCTCACGCTCTATGGTGGCTTGGAGCTGGGTCTGCATCCCTGCTTGCTGAGTCCCAGCCGGACTGATTCTGCATCTCCAGGGCTGTTTGCTCCACCATTCTATGCTGGCCACGTCAACATTTTGTAACCAGTAGTTTCCAGCTTCCTTCTGGCCCATCTTCACAATGAACGATATTGTTAACGCAGCTTGTATACCTGTCCTGTGTACCACAAATAGTTTGTGTGAAGATCCTGAGTCATCATAAAAACAATGACGCTCCCTGGCAGAGGCCACAGTCTTCCCAGCCTTGGCTCACGGTGTTCTACACTTGAATTTGCTGCCTTGAATTGAACTGCTTGTATTTAAAAATTGGTAGGTTTTATGCAGAAATCTAGATGCTTCCATTTCTCTGGAAAGTTTCATTAATCTGGCAAAGGGAAGGGACTTCTCCAGTGGCACTGAAGCCCTTTAGATAGAATATGCACCTTCTATTTCACTGTGGCCCCCATCACTCCTCTGGGATTCCCAGTCCTCAGCCAAGTGTTATTTGTTATTGATCATCTTCTAATCTCTTGCTTTACAAATTTGAGTTACCAGCCTTGATGTGTCTAGACATTTGGGGATTTCAATTCTTGTTCTCTGAAAGAGATTAATAGTCCTAGTAAAAATTTTTTTCAGGGCATAAAAAAGGATTGATGAAGATAGCTATAAAATAATTAAGTTTATTGAATAATGCAAATGACTGATATTTCTCCAAATTTGGTTTTCAAGGCAAACATGTCCCAGGTCAGGCAAGTGGGCCTGCTGGCCGCTGGATGTCAGCCATGGAACAAAGATGTATGTGCTGCCAGTGGAGACAGGTTTGCATACTGTGCCACCCTGGCCATCTATATTTACCAGGTAAAATATTATGGATGCTTTTCGATTTCTAATTTTATTAGGTAAAATTAATATTTAATACATATTTTAAAATCCCTGTTATAGGAAAGGCTTAAGTCCTGTAATTTAATTGATATTTATATTTTGTTGCTGTTTATACTATATTGGTTTTACAATTCAAGCTTTTAAAAAATGCTCGTATCATAGTTTCAGATTGTTAGAAAAATCTTAATTGATTTCATAAACCTTTATGTGCTGTTCATCAAACAGAATTTCTTCAAGAATTAAAAGCTTCCAATCTGTGAGTGGTGAGCAATTAGAATCTAATGCTTTTAAAATATATTTCCATCTAAATCATTGGAATTCATTTATTCATTTGTTTCAGACCTTGCTCAGCAGCATTTCATATGAGAAAATCATCAGTTGAAGAATGTGGGTCATCCATTAGAGATCATTATATTAAAAACATTACAGATATAAAATATTTTGAGATATTTTTGAGATTCAAAACTTTACAACTCCCGTTTTTTCATGTCTGAACTCCATCCAGACCTCTCTCATCTGTTCCCAATCTATAGAGCCAATGGCCTTCTGAATTGTCCCAGTTATAAGTGCCATAAGCATCATAAATCCAGGTCCATCTTTCTCCTCAAACCTGGAGTCAACATTTCAGTGTGAGCAGCTAACCACTTACCTGAACCACAGATGTGAGGGTTAGCTCTCTTAGGCTCCTCCTTCTCACCTCCTATCCTGTAGGTAACGAGGAGCGATCCTAGCATTTTGTACCTTTATAAAGCCTTCTCACCTAAACTATTATAATAGTCTCTTACTATCTTCTTCGCCTCTACTTTGACTCCCTCTAATTTATACATTAGTGTAGTCATTCATCTGTAATGCATATCTGCAATTTTCAATCTTCAGCTGCTTCTCGTTCCTTCATATTAACATCCAACTTCATAGTGTGACATTGTTTCGCAATGTCTTTCTCCATCTCCTCTCACCTTGTGCCCTGGGCAGACCATGCTAATTGTATTTTCCAAAACATCTCAGACTCTTTTATATCTTGCCTTTGTTTACACTAATTTTTCCATTTGCCTGTGTTGCCTGTTCAGAGAGTGTTTTCTCATCTTTCAAATCTCAGCTCAAGTGTATAAATTCTTGTCCGTATTCTGCTTTTTCCTCTTTCCCATTAGCAAAGGACCTTAGAAAACGGACTGCCTCTCTGCCTGCTTCCCTTTACCAGAATCAGTCTTCCTCACCTTTGATTTCTCAAGTTACTCTGTACTCTCTGGAATTTGATAGATACTCGTTAAATACTTTTTGAATGATATATTTTTTGTTGTTTTGAAACACCAGTTCATTTCAGTTAATAGTGAGAAAGATGATTGCATTATTCTGGAATAAAAATCCTTTTAATTACCAATAGTGTAGTTTATTGAAAATTTAGGAAATAATAGCATTAATCTATAAACCCATTAATTTTACACAGATTCAAGTTAGATTTTATGTAGTCTGTTACTCAAGGTTATAGAAACACCCAGCAATCAACCTCAGTTTCAGTATAAGTCATATTTTTTCACTTCCCATTGCCCCATGGAGAAGACAGCAGCAAGCCTGCTAATTGCTCCCTTTTTCCTCCCATCTGCCTCCTTTACACTTTGCATGTCCCCATAAGCTCCTCACTCCCAAAGGTCTCCTACAAAATTTCTCTCTTAGTCTTAAGTCCCTAACTTCTTGTCTTACTTCCTTTTAGAGAAGAAGAATGTATCAGTCTAGGTAAACTACTCCTCCAAGGAGTAAGGACAGTCAGAGAATGGACGAAGGCAGCACTTAATTTTTTTTATGTTCGCATGTGTCTTAAGTTTTATGATGATATTTTATGACTTGAATATTTAGGAAGATTGAGCTAAAATTATTAATATAAAAAAACCTATGAAGAAAATGTATGAGTCATTAAAGACCGAAACAAATTAAAAATCACCCTGATTTAGAAATTAAATAAACTCAGGTGATAGTTCATTACAGAGTTCACTGTAAAACCTTGTTTCAAAGTATGCAAATGGAAAATTACATTTATATTAAATGGTGACATTAACATTCAACTTACATTAATCAGTATTTTTTAAATGTCATTGTCTAAATTGAAGTGCTTTGAAAATTATGCTACATAAATATAAAATGTTATAGTTATTTCCAAAGGGAATAGTTATTAAATCATACCTGGGGTTAATGTACAGAGTCTGATAGTCTGTCACAGTCTGTATAATGATGCCGAGGTATTATCACATCTGTCTGAACTGTTAAATGATACTTGTAAATGTGGTAAGAATTTTTCCTTTGACCATTGAATTGTAATGCAATAATATATTGTATTAACTACTCTAAAAATGATTTATGGTCCAACTCAAAGTAATAGTACAGACTCATAATACTGAATTGTAAATATAATAGGAATGTATTAATAAATTAATCCCTGTAACTATTCTATATTGTGCTTAAGATACTGTTTGGATGATTTGTATAGTAAAGCCAGTGAAGATCATTGATATGCAACATAGCTTCTTCATGTATTTATAGACTCTTCCACTGAATTTCTAACTTATGTAGCAGTTTTTTCTGTTAGATACATTAGACACACTCACAGTATTTACCATAGATAAACTTAAATCACTGAATAACTTAAAACTTACAAATCTATTCCTAAATGTACAGAAAATGTACTTATATATTTAAGTAGGCCAACTTAAGATTATTATAACTGCAATACTAATCAGATGAAAACTCCACTGGTACTTGGTTATCTCTAATAATATTTTCATCTGAAGTTGTTCAGGAATAGCTGAAGTTCAAGTAGTAAGAGATATAGAAATTATAGAAGGGAAAACCTTAGGAAATAATTAGGTCATTTGTCAAAATTTTATATAAAGATGTTTGCTACAGCATTTTTTGTGATAGCAAAAAAAAGTTGCTTAAATGGTAAACAATAGCATAATGGCTCATTTTTTTTCAATAATATTAACTGAATCTCTTCTGTTGGCCAAGTATCACTAGGCACTAGGAATGAAACTATGAACAAATCAGGTAAATTCTTCTCATTGAATTCATATTCTTAGTAAGGACGGGGGCAGGGAGGGGTCATTAAACAAATAAATAAATAAATAGGTGTTGCAGGAAGAAATGTGTTCTACAAAGGATATAAAAACAGGTAATATGTTAGAGTCATTTACACCAAAAACAAAAGCAACGAAAACAAGTGGGACTGCATCAAACTAAAAACCTTCTGCACAGCAAAGGAAATCATCAACAAAATGCAAACGCAGCCCACTGAATGGGAGAAAATATTTGCATATAATATATCTGATAAGGGGTTAATATCCAAAACATATAAAGATCTCATACGATGCAATACCAAATTAAACAAATGATCTGATTAAAAAATAGGCAGAGGATCGGAATAGACATTTTTCTAAAGAATATTTACAGATGGACAACAGACACATGAAAAGAAGTCTCAGCATCACTCATCACCGGGGAAACGCAAATCAAAACCACGCTGAAATATCACCATATAGGTATTAGGATGGCTATTTTCAAAAAGACAAGGCATAACAAATGTCAGGGAGGATGTGAAGAAAAGGGAACCCTTGTGCACTGTTGATGGGAATGTATATTGGTGCAACCACTATGGAAAACTCTGTGGAGGTTTCTCAAAAAATTAAAAACAGAACTACCATATGATCTTGCAATTCTACTTCTGAGTGTTTATGTGAAGGAAATGAAAGCACTAATTTGAAAGGATACATGCAGTCGCATTTTCACGGCAGCATAACCGAGACATGGAAGCAACCCCAGTGTCCATTGATGGAGGAACGGATAAAGAAAATGTGATCCATATATGCATACAATGGAATACTATTTAGCCATAAAAAGAAGGAAACCTTGCTATTTGCTGCAACATGGATGGATCTTGAGGGCATTATGCTAAGTGAAATATATCAGAGAAAAACAAATACTGTATGATCTCACTTTTATGTGGAATCTAAAACAAAACAAAACTGAATTCATAGATTCAGAGAATAGATTGGTGGTTGCCAGAGGTGGGGGTACAGGGGGTGAAATGGGTAAAGGGAGTCAAAAGGTACAAACTTTCAATTACAAACTAAATAAGTCATGAGGATGCAATGTACAGCATGTTGAATGTAGTTAATAACACTGTATTGTATATTTGAAAGTTGCTCAGTGAGTAGATCTTAAAATCTACCACAAGAAAAAAAATTATAACTGTGTGTGGTGATTGTTAAGTAGGCTTATGTGATCATTTAGCAATATATGCAAATATCAAATCATTATGTTGTATACCTGAAACTAATATTATATGTCAATCATATCTCAATTTAAAAAAAAGGATAGAGTATGGGACAGGTTTTGGGGTGGGGGTGGGTGCGTAAATTTATTTAGGTACTGTGGTCAGAAAATACCTTTGTAAAGAGGCATTTTTGAACTGAGACCTGGACAGGAAAGAATGAATAACCATGAGCAAATCGATGGGGAGAGCATTCAAGGCCAAGGGAACAGCAAACATAGGCTTTAAAGCAGAAATAATTTTGCTGTAATAGAAAAACAAGAAGGTCAGAGTGGACAAGCAAGAATGCTATACCAAGTGAGCCTTGCAAACAGCAGAGTTTCATAATGTAGGGCATCGAAGGCCGTGTTGCAGTTAGGATTTTACTGCAAGTATATGGTTGAAGAAAGAATGGTGTAATAAATAGTTAATACAATAACGATTTGGAACACTCTTCCATAATACTGTGAAAGGTTCATTATTAAAAGGAAAAGCCAGGTACAACAAAATGGCATATACTATATAATCGCAAACATGTTGAAAATGCTAGAAAGAAAAATTCACTGATTAATGGCACATTTACAAAGGAAATAGGAAAATTGGCTATTTCTTTTTTTCGCTTACATACAAGACCACAACATAATGCCCCATCCAAAAAGCAATAACAGAAAATGGGCCCAGTGATATTGCTCTGCAGACTTCAGACATCTTAATAATATAATAATGAGCAATTGGTTTATTTAACCCAATTTTTTTATTGAAGTATAGCTAAGTCAATGTTAAATTAGTTTCAGCTGTACAACATATTGATTCAGCCATTCTGTGCATTACTCATGGTCATGACGTCAAGTGTCATCAACATCTGTTACCTTACAGTGTTTTTACAGTATTGCTGTCTATATTCCCTGTGCTGTACTTTTCATCTCCATGAATTATTTATTTTATAACTGGAAGCCTGTACCTCTTAATCCCCTTTATCTATTTCACCTATCCCCCCACCCATCTCCTCTCTGGCAACCACTAGTATGTTCTCTGTAGTTGAGTCTGGTTTTCTGTCTTGTTTTGATTTTTAGATTCCACATGTAAATGAAATGATATGATATTTGTCTTTCTCTGACTTATTTCTCTTAACATGATACCTTCTACCTCCAATCATGTTGTCACAAATGGCAAAATTTCATTCTTTTTTGTGACTGGGTAATATTCTATCACACACACACACTTCTTTTTTTTTTTTTTTTTTAAGATTTTATTTATTTATTTGAGAGAGAGAATGAGAGAGAGAGCACATGAGAGGGGGGAGGGTCAGAGGGAGAAGCAGACTGCCTGCCGAGCAGGGAGCCCAATGCGGGATGCGATCCCAGGACTCCAGGATCATGACCTGAGCCAAAGGCAGTTGCCTAACCGACTGAGCCACCCAGGCGCCCTACACACTTCTTTATGCATTTATCGATGGGTACTTGAGTTGCTTACATATCTTGGCTATTGTAAATAATGCTACAATAAAAAATAGGGGTACACATATCTTTTCAAATTAGTGTTTTCATTTTCTTTGGGTAAATACCCAGTAGTGAAATTACTAGATTATGTGGTATTTCTATTTTTAATTTTTTGACGTACTTCCATACTGTTCCCATGTTGGCTGTCCCAATTTATATTCCCACCAATAGTCTTTTTCTCCACATTCTCACCAACACTTGTTATTTCTTGTGTTTTTGATCTTAGCCATTCTGACAGGTATAAGATGATACCTCATTCTGGTTTCAATTTGCATTTCCCTGCTGATGAGTGATGTTGAGTAATGTTGGCCGTGTGTATGTTTTCTTTGGAAAATGTCTATTTAGGTCTTCTGCCCATTTTTAATCGGATTATTTGTGAGGTTTTTTGGTATTCATTTTTATAAGTTCTTTATATGTTTTGGATAGTAACTCCTTACTGGATATGTCATTTGCAAATATCTTCTTCCATTCCATAGGTTGCCTTTTCATTTTGTGATGGTTTCCTTCACTGTGCAAAAGCTTTTTAATTTGCTGTAGTCCCAATAGTTTATTTTCTTAGCCTAAATTTTTTCATTTAAATCTATTTGAAAAATTACAGAAAAAATATCCCAAAACCAAGGGGTTTTTCTTCATAAATAGATATAGTTCTAAAAATATAATAAAGCTCTGGGGGCGCCTGGGTGGCTCAGTTGTTAAGCGTCTGCCTTCAGCTCAGGTCATGATCCAGGGTCCTTCCTCAGCAGGAAGCCTGCTTCTCCCTCTCCCACTCCCCCTGCTTGTATTCCCTCTCTCGCTGTGTCTCTCTCTGTCAAATAAATAAATAAAATCTTTAAAAAAATATATAATAAAGCTCTGAATTATTACGTACATTTAAATGTACATTTATTTTTACTTGTTTTAAAATTGTTTATTTCAATTCTCTTATTTTTAAAAACTGATCTTTTTTCTGCTCATCATCACTTATCAGAGAAATGCAAATCAAAACTATAATGACATCTCACCTCACACCTGTCAGAATGGCTAAAATAAAAAAGCACAAGAAAGCGAGAATGTGGAGAAAAAGGCACCATCTTGCACTGTTGATGGAAATGCAAACTGGTGCAGCCACTGTGGAAACAGTATGGAGGTTCCTCAAAAAGTTAAAAAAGAACTACCCTAGGATCTCTGGATCACGCCAATGGGTATTTACCCAAAGAATACAAGAACACTAATTCAAAGGAATGCATGCACCACTATGATTATAGCAGCATTATTTATAATACCCAAACTGTGGAAGCAGTGCTAGTGTCCGTTGATTGATGAATGGGTAGAGAAGAAGTGGACCATATATACAATGGAATGTTATTCAGCCGTAAGAAATGAAATCTTTCCATTTGCAACAACATGGATGGAGCTACAGAGTATAATGCTAAGCAAAATAAGTTAGAAAAAGACATATACCATATGATTTCACACATATTTGGAATTTAAGAAACAGAACAAGCGAAGGGGAAAAATAAGAGAGGAAGAGACAAATCAAGAAACAGACTCTTAATTATAGAGAATAAACTAACTGATGGAGGAGAGAAGGGTGTAGGGGGATGGGTGAAATAGATGATGGGGATTACAAAGTGCACTTGTGATGAGCACTGGTGATGTATGGAAGTGTTGAATCACTATATTGTACACCTGAAACTAATATAACACTATTAGCTAACTGGAATTAAAATAAAAACTTAAAAGAATGATTTCTTTATATTGATTGAATACACTTAACACTTGAAAGTAGACCAAGGCTTGAAATGTGTTCATATCATGTTATTAGGTGTACTAATTTTCATGTATGTAGCTTTTTAAAAATGTGATTATTAATGAAAAGTGTGTTATCTAAAAAGCACTGAAAATGTCTTATTTATATATTTTTTTTAGTTGGATCACCGTTATAATGAATTCAAACTTCACGCAATTATGTCTGAACATAAAAAAACAATCACAGCTATCTCTTGGTGTCCACATAACCCTGATGTGTTTGCAAGTGGCAGTACCGATAATTTAGTGATCATTTGGAATGTTGCAGAACAAAAAGTCATTGCTAAGCTCGACAATACAAAAGGTATATTTATAACTGGGGTTTATTTTACTAAGTGATTTTAGATTTTTAAAATTTATTTGACAGAGAGACAGCCAGAGAGGGAACACAAGCAGGGGGAGTGGGAGAGGGAGAAGCAGGCTTCCCGCGGAGCAGGGAGCCCGATGCGGGGCTCGATCCCAGGACCCCGGGATCATGACCCGAGCTGAAGGCAGATGTTTAACAACTGAGCCACCCAGGCACTCCAAAATTTTTATTTTAATAAGCAAAATATTTTATTTAAATTAGCTCAGGTTTTAAAGTACTGCTTTTCAAACTTTCCAGTGGAAATCTATGTAAGAAATTTCGTATCTTGACTCATTGTACATATATATAAAACTGAAACAAAATTTCATGAAACTAGTGCACCGATCAGTTAAAACAGTCAATACCAAATGATTTCATTAATAGGTAAATATAACAAAACTTCCCAAAATAAATATAAAAATAATTGGTATGATTTTCTTAATGAGACAATTGGTCTAGCCTGTTCATTACTCTATTCCAATCTGAAACATACACGGACAGTGTTACGCATGTAATCAGGGCCCTGCTGAGTTGGTTTCTTTCTTTTATTTTTAATTGGGTCAAGATAGAAAGTCCTCGTTCACACAAGTAGGTCTTAGTGAATTGAATATTATTACACTCTTTCTAGCTAGCCTCTTACCCCATGATAATGATGAAGTTACCATTTTTCTGTGTTACATGTCACAATAATTCAGTCCCTTTTTGAGTGCCAGGGGTGTCTCAGTTATTAATTATGATTTTGCAAGCTCCTGCTGGATGTGTTTTTCATGGCGGTTGTTCCTCTCACAATTACTGGTTATAACTTTGAGACAGAAAACTGAGATGTGACAGTCTCGCTAACTTTATTTTGTTCAGCTTCTTTATAATGTTCTTTTCGGTATGTAGCAACAATATTGAGAATTCATAGGCAATTATATGTAAATCTTGCTTCCCAGATAATAATAATGCCTTTTGGAACCTTTGGATATGCTCAGCATACTTAGTATATTTCTTTTTCCTTGTCTTTTCAAATTTAGGTCATTAGGAATATTGAAAATACCAGTAAAATAAACCAATTTTGTTACATAACTTTCATCTTAAAAAAAAAAATTTGCCAAACAAGTTTAATTTTTCAACTAGAAAAATGTGCATCTCATTCCCAAGCTCATATAATCTGCTGCTTATTTTCACTTGCAACAACCACTGAGCTTCAGTAGTAGATAGTGGGCAGTGTGCTCCCATCTCTGAGCAAAAATTTTTTTAAAGTTATTCAGTGAGCTTCCATTCATGTAATGGTTTTCCTTAAGGTTTTCAATACGTCAGTGAGAAAAAGCCAAAATACTTTTGGTACAAGGCTTTGTGATGTAGAAACAGCAATTGATAGCCTCAATCAAGATTTTTCATGTTTTTCTAGTCATACCTGTTTCTCTACCAATCACAAATCCTACAGGTTTTTCCATTATTGTTTTTAATGGTCAATAGTACATTTTCTCAATACTTTATATTCAGCTTTATGTGAAATTAATTTTAGGTAACACAATAAATACTCCTTAAATGCTACATGATGTCATTGTTCTTACGAAGTTATCACACAAAATCTATACTAGACTATAACTGCATAGCAACATTTTCTAAATGTTATGGTAGGTACAGATTAGACAGTATATTACTGTATTATCACCTAGTTTATCGACTGATTTGTCATCAAATACCATATGCATCACATCTTTTCATGATGGAAGAGTTTTTTATTCATTAGCTGTGTGCGCCATAGCTTTTTTTGCCACAGAGGATACAATTAAATAAGACTTTTTCATTAGTTGAATCATTGAACATTATATCAAAAACTAATGATGTACTATACCTTGGCTAATTGAATTTAAATTAAAAAATAGCTAAATCCTAAAAAAAAAGGTTTTTTCATTAGCATTTGTAGAATTATTAAATAATTATGATAACAGTTTTGATCACTTTTACGTATTTTTCCTTTCCTTACGTATCTTCCTTTCCTTTGAAAATTTTCAGAGGCTTTACAATAAGTTCCTCATGCCATTTCTAAATATCTTCTTACTTTGAAAATTGAAAGCTGTATTTGCAAAAATATTATGAATATTTTGGTTATTTTCATTGTAAGTAATTCCCTTTGAAATGTCTTAGACTCTGTTTCTTCTTTTCAGAATCCAGCTTAAGCAAAGTAGAAATTTGCATTTAGTCAACCTTTTTTAAAAATCAATATTAGAACTTGAACTTGCCTCTGTATTTTTTATTTTCATTATTCTGTTTTCCACAGTAATAAAAATTTTATTTAAAACAAGTATTAGTTTGTTTAAATATAAAATGTTAAATTTTCATAAGGTTGAAAAATATCCCACTTGATAATATCCTTTCAGAAAAAACACCCCAAAACATTGTTCCCAATGGATAATAGTACTGCCTACCCATCTTAGAATATTTTGGGGAGAATTAAATGAGTTGATATTTTACAGAGTTCTTAGAAGTACTTAGAAATAATAAACCATTATAGAAGCCTTTTCTGTTTCAACCAAATGACATTGTTTCTGGTCCCTTCTCTTCCTTGCTGCCTCTCTGGAGACATGCATTCAGAGAGCCCGCGTTCTAGTGGCTTTCTTCAGGGGTGCGATGGTGGTTTGACCCATTCAGAGTATCTCATCCCTTATTGGGAAATTCTACTTCTGTTAATGTATTCTAAAACCACATATATTTTTTAAAGATTTTATTTATTTATTTGACAGAGAGATAGAGAGCACAAGTAGGCAGAGCAGCAGGCAGAGGGAGAGGGAGAAACAGGCTCTCCACTGAGCAGGGAGCCTGACGCGGGGCTTGGTCCAGGACCCTGGGATCATGACCTGAGCTGAAGGCAGCAGCTTAACCAACTGAGCCACCCAGGTGCCCACCATATCAGCTTTTTATTGGCCTTACTCATGGACACATTCATTCCTTCTATAAATATTTATGGAGTTACCATTTTATGTCAGGCCCTGAACTAGGCGTTAGGCTTCTGGTTTCTGCCTCTTGGAGCATTAAGGACACAAATTGAATTTACTGTCAATGAACAACTTTCAACTCTGTATCTTTGTTTATAGCACTTCCTCTTCCTGGGAAATAGTACTTATCCCATACATTAAACTCTGCTGCTTCCTCAAAGTATAATTCAAATCCAGCTTCTTTCCAGGACCGTTGCCCAACAGTTCACAAACCTTTCTGAATGTCACAATCATTTGGAAAACCTTGTTTTTGTTTTTAAGATTTTATTTATTTGACAGAGAGCACGAGCACAAGCAGGGGAAGCTGGAAGAGGGAGAAGCAGGCTCCCCGCTGAGCAGGGAGCCTGATGAGGGACTCGATCCCAGGACCCCGGGATCATGACCTGAGCCGAAGGCAGAGGCTTAACCGACTGAGCCACCCAGGCACCCCTGGAATACGTTGTTACAAATAGATTCCTGGGCCCGAATTCCATATGAGCTGATGTGCATATTCAGTTTGCTGATTCTGATGGATTTGTTTAAAGTATCTGTGTTGGGAGATTCATAATCTCTGTCTTGAGTTATAAATTTACCATAACACTTATTTTATATATGATTTATTTGATCACAGTAATAGTGAGGGGAATACAATTAACTTTTGTATTTCTCCTATAGTTTAAAAGGGTCTTTTACATGCATGATTATATTTCCTTTCTTAATATTCATGTGGAATAGGTGTTCAGCTATTTTTGGTTATATCCATTTTATAGATGAGAAGACAGGTTTAAGAGGTAAAATTACTTGTTTAGTTCATCTGAAGCAGCACTAAGATTTGAATCTAAACCCTGATAGAACATAGATTGTAGCATTAATTTTATTGTTATTAAATCCCTATAGTTGCATTTAACTTTTCATTTATATAATCCTTATCTTCCCAAGGTATTATATTTATATCTTATATTTAAGATCCTTTAAAGCAGGAATTGTATACCATATTAACTTGTATACCTAGAATGTCTACGAGTCTACACAAAAACTTAGTAAGAATTTATTGCTTTACTATGTAGTTTCTGAAAGAAAAAACTCTATAAATGTCTGCATCTGTGAAGCATATTATGATAATTAGTAGTTTTAAACCTAATGAGGTACTTTTCCTTTCATTATGGAAGCACCCTACATATGTTGCCTGTAGTCTTTAGGGTCACTTTATAAGTCCGACTCCCAACTAGGAAGGTAGTAATATTTTTTTAAACGACAAGCCTATTCTTATAGTTTAAGTTGCTTTAGAAATGTGCAATGGAAATACTATTTAATGGTACATCTTCTTCCTCACGGCTCTGTTACGTATCTGTATTTTATTTCTTCTAGGGATGCCTGCCTCTCTTAGCTGGTGCTGGAACGCAGGTGACGCCGTGGCTTTTGTTTCCCACAGAGGACCACTGTTCATTTGGACCATCTCAGGCCCAGAGAGTGGGGTGACTGTGCACAAGGAAGCACATGGCTTCTTGTCTGATATCTGTATATTCAGATGGCACACCCAGAAAAAGGGGAAAGTTGTATTTGGTCATATTGATGGAAGTCTGTCAATTTTTCAGCCAGGTAAGAATTTAATTTAGTCAGGTTTCTTTTTCTTACCCTATGTGATTTCTTGTTTACACAGCATACAGCCAAAGTTCACAATATTTTAATTTTAAAATAATAGTTGTGCAAATAATATCCAGCACCATGAAGTAAGTTTTATTGTAATATATTTAACTCAGCTGTGCAGATTGTACTTTGAGTTAACCCAAATCCAGTCATTTGCCCAATATTTTTACTTTAAGTCAGTTGTTTATTTCTGTACATTTACTAAGAAAAATGACCCGAATGAATTAAGGACATACAGCAGAGGAATATGATGACTTACTAATACTTCTCAAAAATATTTTCCCACCTGTTTGTAAAATACCATTGTGATATCATAGGTCCTTAGCAAAGACTTTGAACTTGAGATAGAAAGGAACAATAAATCTTTGGATTCCCCCATCAGTTACTTAATCTAGCTGAATGAACGGGTCTGAGGAACTAATTTATGTTTATTTTTTCAATTTAAACAATGATAAAATGTGTAATGGGGAGATCTGAAAATTACCAGAATAGCTCTCCACTCAAAAGTAGTATGGCTACCATTTGAGAAACATGCTTTTAGCCATCTGGCATCTCTGTTGATGTATGTGACTCCTGACTTGCTAGATAGATGGATAAAAGTGCTTTTTAGGACTAAGATCACTACTTTCACAAAATGTATCACATCCAATTTATCTGAAACTAATAGAAGAAAAAAGAAATTGAAGTTGAACAGAAGAAATTATAAAATTTGAATAAATATTTCTTAAATCTTTCTAACATTAAAAAATGATATATATGATAATTATATATGATTTCATGGATATGTGGAATTTTAAGAAACAAGGCAGAGGATCATAGGGGAAGAGAGGAAAAAATGAAACAAGATGAAACCAGAGAGGGAGACAAACCATAAGAGACTCTTAATCTCAGGAAACAAACTGAGGGTTGCTGGAGGGGAGGGGGGTAGAGGGATGGGGTGGCTGGGTGGTGGACATTGGGGAGGGTATGTGTTGTGTAAGACTAATGAATCACAGACCTGTACCCCTGAAACAAATAATACATTATATGTTAATTTAAAAAATATGTCAAAGGTGATGGGATATCACTCCCTGATTATATTATATAGTAAAGATGAAGAGATTTTTTTCAGATGTAAAAATAAAATGATATATAAAACATTGATATTTTGGTGCCATTTTATCTCAAATACATTTCAAACAGGATCTACTGTTTTACTTCGTAAAGAAAGATAATAATTATACTTCTTTGCCACCTCCCCTCTGCTCTTTGTGCATATCCTCTTCTTCCTTCTGGTTATACTAATGTAACTTGGGGAGAGTTTTATCTGTTTGTTTTAAGTTGGAGTGGGGAGGGATCTGTGCTTGTTTTCTGCTTCATTTGGATTTGTTGTCTCGGACACCCCCACCCAATCTGTTCTGTCCTCTGTCTGCATTGGGAGAAAATTCTGTTTTATAGTTAGTCATTAGGCTCATGGTTAAGTGACCTCATTCACAGACTTTCTCTGTTTGATCTGGTGCATACCACTTCTTTTCCCTCCTGAGCTCTTGATCTACAGCAGTCTTGCTCAGTCCTGGGGTGGGGGGATTTAGGGACAGTCAGGATGGCTGTGTGCTGTGTGTTTCCTCCTCTTGATTCTCTGCGGTCTGGGGGTGTAACCAGATCTTGTTAGGGACTCCCCACTACTCCCCAGCCAGCCTGCACCCAGAGATTTCATAAGGATTGTGATACTTTCTTTTTGAGGAGTCTGTGCTGCTGAGCTCTCAAGAGGATAATGAGGAGTGTGCACTTACTTTGGTCCAAATTTCATTCTAGATATTACTCATATTTCATAATTTGTCACTGTGACCATCTCTTTTTTACTGACTATGGCTTTCTTTTTTTGCTTTATTATTAGGCATTTTTTTAATTAGGTATTTTTGAATGTGTTAAGTCCTAAGACATTGAGACATTGTATCATGTATCTAAAATATAAAACATTGAGACATTTTATGCTTATTCTGGCATTGAAAGGATAGGGAGGCATAAGGACCTCCTTTTCCCTTTGTGTCTCCCTTTTGTGGGTTTAAGTCAGAGTGGAATGTATTATATTTCAACATCTGACCTATGACTTCCAGAAGAGGCCATCATTTTCCCATAACTCATCTTCCAGTTATTAAATGAAGTAGTTTGTGCATCTCTACCCCTATCAATCAAGTGTTATTTTTATGGATCCACACATGGATTCATTTACTAGGGCTTACCCTAACAAAGTTCCACATACAGGGTGGCTTAGATCAACAAATGTGTTGTCTCGCAGTTCTAGAGACCAGAAATATGAAATCAAATTGTCAGCAAGGCCCTCTGAAGGCAACAGGCCTGTCTCTTAGCTTCTGGTCCTTCCTTAGCTTGTGTCAGGCCTAGCATCAGTCTTCACATGGCATTCTCCCCGTGTGCATGCAGGTCTCTGTGTCCAAATTTCTCTTTTATAAGGACACAGTCATGCTGGATTATGGTTCACCCTCATGACCTCATCTTAATTTATCATCTGCAAATACCCTATTTCCAAATAAAGTCCCATTCACAGATCCTTGGAGGTTGGGACTTCAACATCTTCTGGGGGGATACAATTCAACCCATAACAACCCCGTACAGACTTGCTGGCCTCATTTATTCCATAGGATGTTTAGCAATGAATATATACAAAACATTAGGGAAGGTATAAATCCTGCCATGTATTTTCCTTTTGCATATACATGAGCTAACGGGTCATAAAGGAAATACTACTTTTTATTCTGATGTTACATTCTGCATTGCGAGTTTGAAGCTTTGAGACTGTTAGCATTAATACTGATGTTATGCTTTTTACTTTTCCTAAGGAGTGGTCACCTTTATTGGCACAACAGATTATTCTATCTCTATGTAACAAGATAGAATTTATGTCCTCCAGGTTCTTGCAGGAGCCTAAGACCTCAAGCTCTCTGCTGTCCGGTCTTTATCTCTCTAGGGAAAAAAAGGAAATATTCACGGAGGTGATGTTGCTGCCTTTTATGCCTTCTCCCTTTCAGTCTGAAAAGCACCACTTTATTCTATATTTGTGTATTGGATTTTCATGTAAAAATTCACCAATGAACAGAGGATTCTAGAGCCAAAATCACTAGAAAACTACTCTAGCTATTTTAAAATTATAGTTTTGGACAAAGCTAGGTCATCAGAAGTTTTTTTTATTTTCATAATAGAAATGTTTTCATTGAATTGATTTTTGTGTTATTCCAAGGATGTGCATGAATCAAATTTGCATGGTTTTATTTTAGAAATGTTGATGATATTCCCTGTGTCATACTGCATTCCCTTTTTGAAAACACACAGGAGACCTGTAATTTTGGTCTCAGTTCTGGGAAAAGTGTTTCTCCTGAGCACTTTTTTTTTTTTTTTTTTGTCTTTTTGTTTTATTTTTATCCTATGGACACGGTGAGTTATGTAACCTTTCATGATTTTTTTTCTTCTTTGCTTTGGCCACTGGTTTCAAAATCAAAATTTGAACAGCTATGTGGATTATATACTACCTCATTATTTCATTTTAATTTATTTTTAATTTTTTTTTCATTATTTCATTTTTAAACCCCAATTTTCCCTTGCCCTGGTTTTTGGTTATGGTTTTTTGGTTTTGTTTTTTGTTTTAAATTTTATTTATTTATTTGAAAGAGAGAGCAGATAGAGAATGCATACAAGGTGGGGAGGGCAAAGGGAGAGGGAGAAGCAGACTCCCCGCTGATCAGGGAGCCCAATGTGGGACTCATTCCATGACCCCAGGATCATGACCTGAGCCAAAGGCAGACCTTAACTAACTGAGCCACCCAGGCGCCCCTAGTTTTTGGTTTTTGTGCAGAAATTATCAACCTTACCTTCTTATTGACTTATTCTTCTCAAATGCTTCTGTCGTATCTGACAACACAAGTTGCCTGATATTTGTATAATAAAATAGAGTGCGCCTGGGTGGCTCAGTCGGTTAAGCGTCTGCCTTCGGCTCAGGTCATGATCCCAGGGTCCTGGGATCGAGTCCCACATCGGGCTTTCTGCTCTGTGGGGAGCCCGCTTCTCCCTCTCCTCCCCACTTGTGCTCTCTATCTCACTATCTCTGTCTCTCTCAAATAAATAAAATCTAAAAAAAAGTTTTTTCAAAAGAAAAAATAAAATAGAACATAAATAAAAATAAATAATATAAAATAATGAAAGTATTATCAGCTGTTCTAATGGTTGGCTGTAAAATTTTATAGATTTAGTTTTCTATTTTTTTTAAATTAATCATTTTTTTTATTTAAAGATTTTATTTATTTATTTGACAGAGAGACACAGCGAGAGAGGGAACACAAGCAGGGGGAGTGGGAGAGGGAGAAGCAGGCTTCCCACCAAGCGGGGAGCCCGATGCGGGACTGGATCCCAGGACTCTGGGATCATGACCTGAGCCAAAGGCAGACGCTTAACGACTGAGCCACCCAGGCGCCCCTAGTTTTCTATTTTTTATAATAAAAATGTTGTTACTAGACTGAACAGAAAACCGTGGCTGTAATTCATAATCATTTTGACTAAGCATGGGCTTTCAAGCAACATGATTTAGATACCATAGCATTTGCATTGCAGATTTTCCCACGTTTGTGTTAGTGGGTTGTTTTTATTTTTTTTCACATTCTGGAATATTTTTCATAAACCATTGACGTTAACTGGCACATGCAGATACCTGAAAATTACTTAAGAAATGGCTTTAGTATAACTTAGGTTGATCATTTTTCAGTCTCTCTCTGACTTGTAATGATTTGTTGTATTAATATTACTGTTTGTTAGATCAAATAGCAATTTAGCAGATACTTATTTTGGGAAAGAAGAAGCAAACTTTTCTCGATGAGGATTTCAGGAATTTGATAAAGCCAAATAAAAGAAACATCACATGTACCTTCTATGATTTTATATGCAAAAATTCTAAATAAAATGTAAGATCAACATCATAAAGAATAATGTATTCTGACAAATTTAATCCCAACCCAGAAACTGTTTAAGGTTTTCAGTTCATTTTATAAATAGCTTATAAATCCAAGGAAATTTATTTTTTTGCTTTTATAATCTGATATGTTGAAAAACAGTATGTAATGGTGATATTACAGAAGGAGCTATGGTATCTCTCAGTTGGGTTATTGTTTAGTAAACACTTCTGGTGGCGTTTATAATCCTCAGGAGGAGTTGGTTCTGTGAAGACTGTGGTCTGAATACCGTTGTCTTGCTGCCTTTCCTCGGAATGGGAGGCCGGTTAATTGGTGCTCCATGTAGTGTATCAGCAGAAGCATTTTTTCCCCCATTGCCAGTTGTGTCTAAATTTGGAAGGAACAAGAGGGTTGTTTGATAATCCTTTGCTTCATTTAATTCCACATGTTTTATGTCCCTATTTTTCTGTCCGCCTTCTTTGTACTGGTTGTCGGGAGTGAGTTACGCTTCTGAGCACTGCTGTGATGCATGAGGAAGGGGGGACCGTAAATATTGATATGCTGCTTATAACAGGCCTTACTGTTCTTAGCACTTGAAGTGACTAACTCACTCTTTTACAAAACTCTATGAGCTAAGTATTGTTATGTTCTCCATTGTACAAATAAAACACTGAGCGCACAAAGATTCAGTGTCTTGTCCAAGAGCACAGAGCTAGTCGGTGGTGGAACGAGGCTGTGCACCCAGGCAGTCGGCTACAAAGTCTGTGCTTTTAACCACAACAGGGTGTTCCTCTTGGTAAGCACTTCCCTATCCCCACACTGCTGCAACTCAGTGGAAATTGTAGTTGATGACATGAGCCTGGGTATTGTTTACGTGCGTCTTTTTCTTTTGTCATTTCAGTAACATTTAGGGCACCAGAGATGGCCAGAGCAGAGCAGTTCAGTCTGACTTTCATCTCATCCGGATCCCTGCACTCCTGTGTCACTTAGGACCTCTGCACACAAAGGCCAGATCTCTGTTCCCAGTACTCTCAGAGACCAGGGATGTGCAAAGAGGAAATTAGTATGACCTCAGTTGTTGATTTTCTTTTGAGCATTTTGTTTAAAATCTTTTTCTTTATATTTTAATAGGTAATAAAAGTCAGAAACATGTTCTGAGACCTGAATCTCTTGAAGGGACAGATGAGGAAGATCCAGTGACAGCCCTGGAATGGGACCCACTGTCTACCGATTATCTCCTAGTGGCTAATATGCATTTTGGAATTCGCCTGCTAGATTCGGAATCACTTTATTGCATAACAACATTTAATTTTCCCAGTGCAGCAGCTTCTGTTCAGTGTTTGGCCTGGGTTCCCAGTGCTCCTGGGACGTTTGTAACTGGGGGTAAGTTTACCCTATTCCCCAAAGTTTTAAATATGTGTTTATTCTCTGAGTCAGGGAAGTTATAGTCTTTTATTGGTTAATTTTGTATAAAATGTATTAATACCCAATACTATCATTTATTATAGTAAATGCCTAGTTTACTTTTATTTATACTGTATGTCATTAACATAATGACAAATAAATATGAAATTAAGGCCCAGTTTTCCAGGTTTCTGGTTATAAATTGGACTGTATTGTGTATGTGCACACATGTGCTCAGGTTTTTGTGTTTGTGTGTAGAAGACAAAGATAATTCAGTTTCAGTCATGGAAGGATGACAGTAAAAGTACTAACTAGAAAAACATTGATCTAGATGGGAGCTCTGTTAGCCTCACTGATAATTTGGACAGTCAGTGACCATGAGTACCTAATTAGACCAAGGCATTTTCTATCTAAGTTGGAAATGAAAGTGGGGTTTATCATCATGGCTTGAAAGGAAGCTCCTTCTTGGTTTCCCAGTCATGAGACAATTAGTAAAGCTAAGAAGTGACAGGGGATGGGAAGATAAGTACTTAAGCTAGTAATTAGAAATTAAATAATTCCTTCTACTGGTTTCTTAGGATGCAAGAGAGAGGTCTCTGAAAGACTTGAGTACTTTCAGCTACTGTATAAATACTTCCCATATTTGCTTAATGTGAAATAACAGAGTCTTTATCCTCACAACTGTCTTGAAGAAATTCTTTACTTCTTTAAGCACTTACATTACTCATGGATATAGATGGAGTCTTACGTAGCTTAATTGCCTGTCATTTTGTATGATATAATTAATGACAGGCAGGAACATTTAAAATATATTATCATTGTTCCTGAGTTAAAATTCACATGCCATAAAACTCAGCATTTTGTTTTGTTTTTTAAAGATTTTATTTATTTATTTGACAGAGGATGAGAGAGAGCACAAGCAGGGGGAGTGGCAGGCAGAGGCAGAGGGAGAAGCAGGCTCCCCGCAGAGCAGGGAGCCTGATGTGGGGCTCTATCCCAGGACCCTGGGATCATGACCTGAGCCGAAGGCAGACGTTTAACCGACTGAGCCACCCAGGCGCCCAAAACTTTCAAGCATATGGTTCAGTGGTGTCTGTAGTCACAAAGGTGTACACCCATCACCATGACCTCACTGTGGGCCATTTTGTCATGCCCCCAGTAGACTCGGTAGCTGGTAGCAGTCGCTCTTCATGAACCCCTCTCCATGGCCCCAGGTGCACACATGTGTGTATTTAACTGCTAACCTACATTCTATCTCTGTGGATGTACCTAGTCTGGACGTTCCATAGAAATGAAATCATTCAGTACAAGTGTCGGACTGACCATAAAGTTTTCAAGGTTCATCCATGTTGTAGTGTGTATGAATATTTCATTCCTTTTTATGGATGAATAATATTGCATTGTATGGATATGCCAGATTTTGTTTATCCACTTATCAGTTGACAGACATTTACCTTGTTTCCACTTTTTTGGTTTTTTTGCTATTAGGAATAATGCTGTGCTGAATGTCGGTGTAGAGGTTTTTGTGTGGACATAATGTTTATCATTCTGTTGGGTATATGTGTAGGAGTAGAAATGCTGAGTCATATGGTAACTGTTTAATCACTGGAGGAACTGCCAGAAAGTTTCCCAAAGCAGCTTCTATATAAGAGGTGGGATTTTCAGGAAGTCGGGGAGCTTTCTAGTTGGTTTTTTGGTATGTCAGGCAGTCTTGGTTGCAGGTGAGCAAAGGGGCAGTTTATGTACATTTCAAAAGACAAAATATTATTTAATGTTAGAGGTGCAAAGTTTTTTGTAGCTGGCTTCCCTAGAGCAAAGGTGTCAGTGGGGTGCTTTTTTTGTGATCAGACTCTGATAATGATCTTTGTAGGGGGAAGCCGCCAAAGCAGACAGTCCTTAACCCTAGGAAAGGATTTGGAACAGAAAAAAGCAAAATAAGCCAAACATTTAAAGGATGAATAGCATTTCACCTGTTTCTTTGGGTTATTGTACGATATTGTTTGAAGAATGTTAGTAAGTGGTGCTAAAAATCTTGCAAGTTAAAGTTTTTGTTACTACTTTTGTGTCTGGGCATTTTATGTTTCAAATAAAACTAGTTAATATAATGCTTTTTTCTTGATCTGACTAGATTCTCAAGTGGGGGTTTTGCGCATTTGGAATGTTTCAAGAACAACACCTATTGATAATTTTAAATTAAAGAAAACAGGGTTTCACTGCTTACATGTACTTAATTCTCCTCCAAGAAAAAAATGTAAGTAAAAAATCATCAACATTTAATATTTTAAAATGTCAGATTTACTGCTATCAAATAAAATGACTGATATGGTGATATACAACTGAACATAGTAAAAAAATAAATTTACACTGTATGTTAGCCTACTGGAAATTAAATAAAAACTTGGAAAGAAAAAGAAAAAAGAAACATACCAAATACTATATGCTACTGAAAAGCAGGTTTTAAAAAATGGTCTTTGACAATGTGTACTAAAGAGCTATCAAGGCCACATAATATCTAATATTACTAAGTTGAAAATATTTAGAGCCAAGTTATATTTTTAAAATGCTAATAAATGAGGATATTAAGATAATCTCAAATTATCTACATAGGGAAAATGAAGCATGATTTTGGTGAAAATAAGAAATATCAAGAGTAATAGATCAAATAAAATTGATCTGAAATAGGAGACTTTATGTTTTAAGTGTGGCTCTTTTACAATCTGGAGGGTTTATAACAAAGTTGAAATAACCTAAATATTTGAAATATAGGATCTGGAACATATATTCCATGGTTGAATACCAGATGTCACTGATTAGTAGTTGCTCTTTTGGATATTCTTTATTTTTGTCTACTTTTTTTTCTGATTACCTTTTATTGCTTCTCTAATCAAGAAAAAAATAAAATACACTTAAGCAATAAAGGAAAGACTCTGGAATTTGGGGGGAAGTTTAGAATTTGAATTTTTCTTAAACATGGGATGACTGAAATTTTATAGATTCTCTTCTTTCTCGTATTTTTTTTTTCTTATTACAAGAGTGGCCTCTGCCCATTAGAGGAAAAACCAAAAATATAAAGAAGCACATACCAATCTTATCATTATTAAAGCAAATCCTTTCAGGATAACTATTATTAGACATCTTGTTTTTTTCCTTCCAATTTTTTAAAGTAACAAAGTGTGAAATAAGAAAAATTATGTGAAAATGAAAAATTTTAGATGTAGACATACTCACCAAATCCTTTAAAAAGATAAATGACAGATACATAGGTGCGTATAAGGTATCAACACCACCCATAATGTCAACAAATTAAAATATTAGAGGAACCAGCCATGGAAGATGCTAATTTTAATGAAACTGTCAGCAGTATTTTATTGAACCAAATGCCTCTTTTGTTATTAGTAGTTTATGCTACTTTGGACTTCCTGTCATTGTCAGATTCTGAGAGATGAGTGTTATCCAAAAGAATGCAATAAGGAAGACTTTATTATATTTGGATCAAAAAGAATTTACTGGGAAATATTCATCTCTATTCTATGTAATTAATATAGATTGGCCTGATCATTTCCAGCAGTATCATTATTTTGAATTATGTTTGCAAGAGAATATTCACGTTCTAAGGAAAAACTTCTTGAGAGAAGACAAAAGACAAGACAAAGAATATACAGAGAGACATATTAATATAATTTAAAATTGAGAAATGGAAGTGAATGAACAGTGAAAATAAACCCGAGGAAGAAGAGAGAAACATTGAGATGCAAATGTATGTCAGGCAGTTGTGATTCTTAATTTGGGTGCTAAATTACAGTGAATTACAAAGAACCTCAAAAAGAATTATTTTCATTGGATTGGAAATTAGTGGAAGAGAGTTATTAGCTTTAAAATAAAAACATTCTCATGCATGTTTGTGTGTGTAGAGGGGAAGTAGGCCATTAGTCAGCATTTTGAAAAAATGATTCTAATTAAAAAATAATCATGCTGTGGTTTAATTTATGGGGCGATAAGAATCCAAATATTCACAACATACCATGGTTCCTCACTAATTTTCATCCATTTTGCTGCACCTGCACTTTTATACATCTCTTCAAAATAACATCCACTTTTACATATACGTATGTATAATTTTTAGCCGTGCTGCAGAAGGACTTCTGTGGCAGAAGTTGTGGTTCTTGCCTCGTGGTTTACTGATATAAATTCTGGATAAAAGAAAACAGAGGGGCATCTTTATGAATTAACCCTGTGGTTTCATTCCAGCTGATGGGAAGCTGTTGGTGTAAATATTTACTTGTTTATTTTTTTCTTTTTTCAGTTTCAAGCCAGTCTCCAACTAAAAATCATTATATGTCCTCAACAAGCGAAGCAGTTTCGCCCCCAACTCTGACACAGAATCAGGCATTTTCTCTTCCTCCCGGGCATGCAGTATGCTGCTTCTTGGATGGTGGGGTTGGACTGTACGACTTGGGAGCCAAGAAGTGGGATTTTCTCAGGGACTTGGTATGTCTGCGGTCATTCCTTCTTTTATACACAACACTTATTTTGTGTTAGCTCATGATGTTTACTTTTACTTACACACCGAGATTGTTAAAGTTATTCTCGTAAAGAATTGTGTGTTAGGACTTTATCTTGGTTGGCTGAAACATTCTAGAATTACGTACAGAATGATGGATGATGAAACTAGGACAGTTCTTAAAATTCTAAGTTTTAAACTTCTTTCAATATTAATGTTTATTTAGCTTATGATTACTCTGCATGGTTGGTATTTTGTACACCACCTGGATCCTTCATATAGTACTGGAAAATTACATTGCTGTACTATAGTTTGGAAGCAAAAAGAGAAATAAATATTCTTTCAGGAGGAAGGACAAGTCCGTCTCTGCCAGTTACTCCAAGCTTTATTGTTCATATGTGTGAAATGAACAAGGTTGGGTTCAGTGTTTTCTAAGATTTTCTAAGATTTCTAAGATTTATTGCTGTTATCGAATCAGTACAGTGATTCTGTGATTCTGTAAACTTTTGTTCTCATGATCATTAAGCTTCCATATAAATTAGAATACAACCTCACTGAGGACTCACATTTTTGACTGATTTTGTTCTGTGCTTTAACCACCTAAAATAGTACCTGGCACATAGCAAGACTTTATTCAGTTTTGTTGAATGAATGAATCTGTGAATGAATGAAGGCATGCAATAATGTATATTGTGTTGTAATTGATATTTGTCAAGAATCAGCTTCTTTAAATCTCCCTATTTCGGACTGCATAAAAATGCCTTTTTATTTTTTACAGGTTTGCATTAGACTCATCTAGGCATTTAAAAAACTTTTAAGTGTTGGTTGTTTTTTTGTAGAAAAACTTAGAAAAGGAATATAGAGCTATACTTAACCCTTGTAAAATAATTGAGGGAAAGAAAGTAATACTGTATCATTTTAGGACAAATTTAATTTTGTCCTCGAGTGAAAAATTTGAAATATGGCCAAAAAATTTTTGCAACAATGTGTAGCTTATTTTTAAATATCCCTTTTGTAGATATTCTCTAGATTATTTCATTTTCTTTCCATGTAAACTTTTTATATAAACTCTTTTCCAGTGTGGTCAGCTCTCCTGTACTTCAAATTATCATTTACTTTCCAAAAAATTTATGAAAAGGAAGGGAGAAAAATATAAGAATACGTTTAAATCTATAAAAACTTATATTAGCAAAGAAGAAATCATGCAATCTAAGTTCAGTAGAGTTTCTATTGAGTGTGTGTCTTCATATTAAAATATTTTATTTAGAAAACTATGTAATTCGAGAGTTCTTATAAAAACTAAGATATTCCTTGATTCTAAATTATTTCAGTGGCTTGTTTTCACTTTAATAATGCCTGCCAGTCAGGGGCGCCTAGGTGGCTCAGTCATTAAGCATCTGCCTTCGTTCAGCTCAGGTCATGATCCCAGGGTCCTGGGACCGAGCCCTGCATCAGGCTCCCTGCTCCGCGGGAAGCCTGCTTCTCCCTCTCCCACTCCCCCTGCTTGTGTTCCCTCTCTCGCTGTGTCTTTCTCTGTCAAATAAATACATAAAATCTTAAAAAAAAAAAATAATGCCTGCCAGTCAGAAGAGATAGTGATTTTTTTTCCTTATAATTTTCAAAGAATAAAGTTGTTAGAAAATTTTGAACAAGACTAAAAATCAAGGCTATGCTGGGTTCTTCTTATTTCTGCCAAAATCATGAAGTTCTTTTGGAGTATGTCATTGGTATAAAAAAGAGAATATTTGCATTTAAGGACCTATAGTTTCAATTTCATCTTAGTCTTTTATTATATTTCCAGAATGACATAATAAACATTAGTAGTTAATTGCTTTATGAATTTCTAGCATGGTATCCTGTATATGAATATCAGAAAAGATACGTTTTGCGTTCTTTTTCTTTTTTTAACATCTTTGTATTTAGTTGCGGATTGGAGGCATTGTGGTTGAATAAAATCTAGGTCTGTACAAAAGAGTATAGTAATAACAGCGTAGAGAACATTCAACCACAACAGTGATTCTGATTTTGTATATACATGTATATATACATATATAATATATATATTTTTATATAAATATTTGGAAACTGTAGTACATATGTTACCTTGACTATACATTGTAGTTTGTTTATTAGTAACATGAATCTTCCTCAGTAGTTGTGACTTCTCTACGCTGCATTCCTAGGGACATGTGGAAACGATCTTTGACTGCAAATTCAAACCTGATGATCCCAATCTTTTAGCAACAGCTTCTTTTGATGGCACTATCAAAGTCTGGGACATAAACACACTAACTGCTGTCTACACCTCCCCGGGTAATGAAGGGGTTATTTACTCCCTATCATGGGCCCCAGGTAAGAAGTGTTTTATTACAATCAAGAGTGCAGTTAGATGACTCTCCTAACTTCTGTTTTCATTTGAATTATATTCTTCTCTCAAAGCCATCTTGCTCCAAATAATTGCAGGGGCAAATTAGTACCAACATATATGTTGGTTCCATTTCTGTGGGGTTTTTGAATAAGCTGCCCCTGCCCAGGCACTTTGATTTCTGGACTTTTCTATATGACATAATCATATAGAAAAACCACAGTCAATAAGGATGATCTTTTTGTTTGTTTGTTTTTAAATTTTTTAAAGTTTTTAAATTTACTTTTTTCATTATGTTGAGTTAGCCAACATATAGTACATCATACGTTTTTGATGTAGTGTTCAACGATTCATTAGTTGCGTGTAACACCCAGTGCTCATCCCAACATGTGCTCTCCTTAATACCTGTCCCCCGGTCACCCCATCCTTAAGGATGATCTTGACCCATCGAATTTTAGCTGCATTTGTATATCTATGCTTTTCAAGGTATAACACATTTTATGGGACAAAAGTTTTCCTTAAAATTTTCATGTGAATCAAATGCATGAAAATAAAAAATATATGTATCTCTCCCTGACACATGTTTGTGAATATGAATGATTTTATATAATCACAGTTCAATTTTGATCATGTAACTCGATATAAATTCTACCTTTGTAATATCGAAGAACTTTTATGCCAGAATAGGACCTTTTGTTTGATCTCAGAAAAATGCTACCTTTATACCTTCCCGTACTTAAAGGAGAAAAAAGATGTCCTTGAAACTTCTGACTTTTTTTTAAAAAACATTATTTCCCTATATCATTTTGCACACCCAAATGAATTTTTCACTTTATAAAGTATATAGAGTGCTTTTCTTATTTGTCCTAGTGACAACATATTAATTTAAAAACCACATATAACCAGGATATAGCTTATTTTTTAGATCATCTTCTCATGCACAGGGATTTTTAGCCTTGAATTTATGGGCTGTTGGGGGGTTTTGATGTCTTCAGGGATGCTGGGAATCTCTTGGATTTTATGCATAAAAGTTTTAGCGTATGTGTGTACATGCCTGTGTCTGTCAAAGATTATCATAGGAATCGGATTTTCAGAGCGGTCCGTGATACAAAAAAGGCGAAGAACCTAGTGCTGTTTTATTTATCCCTCTCCTCCCACAATGAGGAGAGGATCCAGTAAAAGAAGATCCACCTCTTACTCTGACAGTAGTTGTTTCTGTGAGCAGAACATACTTAGGGCCATCATGGATACAAGGCCAATTAAAAAAAAAAGATACTTCACTAATTAAGAAGTGAGGCACGAAAAGAGCTAATCAGATCTCTTACCTGCTGCCTTCTTCCTATTCATCCCTATGTGACGCTTTGTGATTACCAACATTTATTAAAGAGGGTCTGAGAGGTTGAATAACTTGCCCGGGTTACATGCTTCGGGAAAGTAGAAATGTTGGAAAATGGAAATTCTTTTTTTGAAATGTGGTTACTGAGGAATCACTACTTTTAGCTAAGTATGGATAAAATTTAAAAGATTAATGAAGGTTGATAGGGATGGAAGTAGAGGATAGAGGATTGCATAACTTGCTGTAATTTTAGAATAGCAACCACAGGAAAAGAAAAAAAAAGTACAAATTAATATGGAAACTCCTCCTCAATAATTTGAGAACCCAACAAGGGGAGCAGAATGAAAATACTAGAAATACGATAAGGACTTATTTTTTTTTAGGTTTATAATCATTTATCACAAAGTATTTCCTCCATGTTTTACTTGTAGGTAGCACAGGAAAACTGTTCCCTTTTTTTAATGGAGAAAGCCTCTTCTTTGACTGCTTTGCAAGAAATTCTTAAGTACTAGATCATCTACTAACTTAGCAGCACTTTGATTTTCACAGATTTTTTATTTCTTAAAAACAAAGAGCATTGTTTATGTTTTTGATTTTAAAAACCTGAATTTTTTCATGTGTTCTGCTTTTAGAAATGTTTTCCTAATTAGAAAGAAAAAAAACCTTACTAGATGCAGTGTAAAGAAAAATGTAAATACTGACTGGATATGTGATAGTATTGAAGAATTATTGATAATTTTTTATTTGTGATTGTGATAGTTTGGTCATGTTAATGAAAGAGTCTTTTAGACATTTGTACTGAAGTATTTATTGATGAAATGATAGAATGTCAGAGATTTGCTGCAAAGAAACCCAAGAGGGACTATATACAAAACAAGAGTGATCATATTTTGATAATTGTTGAAGTTGTATGATGGTACATTCATTATACTATTCTCTATTTCTATACGTTTGATAATTTCCATAATAAAAAACTTTAAAAAAACTACTTTGTAAATTCCAAGTCTTTTTCAAAAATGATATTTTGAAAAGAATTACATGTGTGGCAAACATTTCATATAAGGACTAACAAATTGTTTCCTAAGGTGATTTAAATTGTATTGCTGGAGCAACTTCCCGAAATGGTGCTTTTATTTGGGATGTTAAAAAGGGCAAAATGGTGCAACGATTTAATGAGGTAAGGTGTATTTATTACTGGCTGAATAGTATAATGTCTTATACTGCCTCATGTTTTGTAAATGCTTTTCTCTCTTAATTTAATAATCACCAGGTGACATTATGTTCTGTCACTTGGAAAAAAAAATCCAAGAGAACATACACATGTTGAAATGAATTCTGAAAAACGTAGATGGGTCTAAGATACAAGAATTCACCTAAAGTTGCATTAGAGATTCAAAGGAATTCTGAATCATCTTCCACAAAATTATCTGGGCAAATATTTAATAGTTGTAAAAAGACTAAACTTGGAACAAGTTCCAAATTACAGTCTAAATTCTGTTACAATTAGCTTTTCACATAAGGAGAATTCTTTAACGTCTTGAACCTGATTCTTCACCTGTAAGATGGTGAAGTTGGATTATACAGTTTCTTGGACTTCCTTCCACCTCTCAAATTCTCCATGACAAGCACTAAAACCTCCCCTCTTCCTGCTTGTAATCATACAGATTGTACTTGACTTCTGCCTGGAGTTAAATTGTCATCCCACATTTTACTGAGTTCCACTAATATTTGGAAACTGCGTGTAATCTCATTGTAATATGTTAGATATGAATCAAGGGAAATAGGAAAGGATCTCTCTTTTGAAATTTCATTAATTTCAAATGACTACTGTTGGAGTTTATTGAATATATAATTTATTTGAAAATAGCTTATATTTGAGACTTTAAAGCCATTTATACAAAAAACTGATTTTCCTCTGAGGATCAAGCAGCTTTGATCTAGGGGACACTAAAGTAATGTGGGAAATGCAGAGTATTAGGAAAACTTTACCAAACACCAGTAAACAATTTTGCCCTCCAAAGAGGAAGCTTTGACAAAGGCCTGTGTAGTTACTCCCCTCCCTTTCTCTACATAACAATACTTTCAGTTCAGCAGTGCCCCCAACCTGCCCTCTGCCCTCCCATCAAGAACAGCACTGATTCTGTAATAGTCACGTAAAAAGAAAAGAAATGAATCTGAGAGAAACTTTTGACCTAAATTCAAAGATGTTATCCTTAGGTGTCACTTCTGTTGATCTCGTCTTGCGGCATCTTGGCCTCTTGAGAACTCAAATATCTGCCTATCAGCACTGCCCGGCCCCACCCTGACTCCAGGCGACTGGCATCCTAGCATCAGGGGTGTGTCTCTCACACCCATTCATGTCTTCCCAGCATTCAGGAGCATAGTCGAGACTGATCGAAAAAGTACTTAAATCTAGGGTAATAACTATGGGGCAAGATCAGTTGTAATTAACTGAGTTACGTGTGTCTCACAGAAGGAGATGCAGGGTCTTAGAAGCCCTAAGTTGCATTTTTCTTGGGCTAAACGAAGCTGACGGGAGGCCTCCACTCCTTCAGTTACGTGAGTGTAGAGACTACCGCATTTTGTGCCCATCTTTATACAGCTACCCCCCTTAACCCCCAAAGAGGAAAGAACAGCAAACTAGAGACCACTTTAGTAAAGTCGCCTTCAAACTCAAGGTAAAAAGTCACTTTAGTCTCTCCTTAGCTGCAGCCAAAACTGATCTGCTCTATAAAGTTAAATAAAAGTTGGAAATGGGTTGATTGCAACCTTTATTCACCCATGTCCCAGTGGATGAATGACATTCCCATGTATAATATATTCCTTGTGGTTTTACAAAGGCTCCTCATACTGGTTGTGACTACAACCCTTTCCTTCCCCAGTCCCAAGAAGGCAGAGGAACGGGTCAAATAGACTGATGTGTCACAGGAAGAGCCTTAAATCCTTCTCCTTTGTTTTTATAAGATAGAAAACGTTGAGATTTAGGAGAACAACCAGTAATAACAATTGCTTGCAGTGTTTCTTACACTGTACTTGTGGTAGCACTGGGTCAGGAAGCAGACAGATCCCTGTCTTCCTCTGCACACTGGGACTTCTGGAAAAGGCATTAAGCACGGCTTTCCTCCGCAGATCCTGGCTCTCTACCAGTGTCTGCGAAACAGAAATAGAGCCGCTTAATTGATATCTTAACACAGGGGGTTTGTTTTTTAAGTGTGATAGCTTTTATATTCCTCTTCCTGCTGTTGATAGTAGTACTACTCTGTTAGCATCGTCTAGAGTAAGTTCCTAACGGAAAAGCAATACTAGAAGAAGTAAATAAATAAGAGAAAAAAGGGGTGAATTATTTTTTATTGATAGGTATTTTGCATTTTTTGAAGCATGGAAAAAGTGGAATATTCTGCGTTGCCTGGAGTCATAAAGACTCCAAAAGAATAGCCACCTGCAGTGGTGATGGTTTCTGGTAAGTACTATGTATGAAGTTACACTGCTTACGAAAGATGTATTGATAATACCCATTGTGTCATGTTAGCACATACATCAGAGTAGTCAGTGCGATTCCATCTGCACGGCTGCACCAACCCTCACCAGCGTATAAGCCCATACGGGCACATGCCGTGTTGCCGTATCAGTACTAAATCAGCACTGAAGAGTGCGGTGATGTTTAAAATAAATAAACCAGTAATTTCTGTCTAAATGAAGATACTACCAGAGTTGTAACTAACATACTGTGAATTGCCTCAAAGAAACTTTAAGAACTTTTCATCAAGAGTCTAATTAATCCTCATCATATTTTTGAGGATTTCAGTTTTACAAGTGATTCAAGAGATATCAAGTGCTCTAGAAACCTGTTCACCTTTTGTAGATGCTGTTGTTTATAAAAGGATGAACAGCCTTTGCAATGAGGACTAAGGTAATGCATGTGGGAAATGCCTAACGTCTCTGACCTTCTGTGTCAGAAATAAGTGCTCTCTTAATTCTGTTAAGTCCCAGGAAAAAGTAGGTTTCCAAGGAATATATGTAAGGGAAGAATTGCCTTTGAGCTATTGGGCTGCTCTAAGTAGTAGTATCTTTGACAGGCGGTATAGACATGCACGGTTGCTGCAAACATAGTAGAGGTGGTCTCCTGGTGGGTTTTGCAGTACCCGGCCCAATTTTCTCATCCTTTCTTTAATTTCAGTGAAAAAGACAGTTCGTATGGAAACCAAAGATCTTCACCAGGAAGTTGAAATTTTCCAGAAATAAGCAAATTAGTGATTTTTTTTCCCTGAAAAGAACTCTTTGCTAATTGATAAATACCAAAATAGGAAAGATGTGCCTCAGAGTTTTTTGATAAGGTGATACACAGTTAGCTTTACCGTGTACTTTCAGGACACCACTGGTCTGATAAATACCACAGGTAATGACTAACATTTGTAAGCATAGGTCACCACCAGTAGCCTCAGAAGTCTGGCCTACTGTTGTTTTAGAGGATCTTTTCTAAAGACTTTTAAAACCCTGTAATACATTAATTTATACACAGCTTCTTCTTTTTTCCTTTTTGGAATCAATTGCCCTGTGTTATGGCAATGATATAGTTGGGTATTAGAGCTTCTTTAATTTTTGCAGCTAAAATATATATTTGGGGGAGAAGGGATTCTCTAAATTGCTAGTTATACACTTAGAACATGCCACAACAATGTTACAACTTATGTGTCCTTGACTTGGTGGAATAGTACATGCAACTTGCATTATAAATGAGTTGTTCAAAATACAAATTTTGAACTGCTAAATTTTGAAGCTGAAAATCGAATGCGTATGTTAGTTATAGCATTGTTTGAAAATGTATGTATTAAACTATGTTTTTCCTGGGGCACCTGGGTGGCCCAGTTGGTTAAGCATCTGCCTTCGGCTCAGGTCATTATCCCAGAGTCCTGGCATCAAGCCCCACGTCCGGCTCCTTGCTCAGCTGGGAGCCTGTTTCTCCCTCTCCCTCTGCTTGCCACTCCCCCTGCTTGTGCTCTCTCTCTCTCTCTTTCTCTGTCAAATAAATAAATAAAATCTTAAAAAAATGTATGTTTTTCCTAAAAATATTTTATAAGGAGTAGTTTCTAAATCAAAATTTATCACCTTCAAATTAATTTAAGTAGATTGCCATAATTAATACTGTCTTATGTAAATATACTCACTCATAATTGATAATATCATTTACTCAGTACTTTTAAATGTTCTCTGTGCTTTGAAGACAAGGTCTCTATCCTAAAAAACTTATTTTTGAATTATACAATTCTGGCTTTGTTTTTGTGAACAATGTATTTAGAATGTTTTTTTCTGTTAACATACTATACTTAATTTCAGTATTGTTCGAACAATTGATGGTAAAGTGCTACACAAATACAAACATCCAGCTGCGGTGTTTGGTTGTGATTGGAGCCAAAACAACAAGTAAGAATTTTTTTTCCAAAGATAAATTATAATTTCTGAGATTTTAAATAAGCATGAAGTTTAATGTTATTCTCACAGGTAATACTCATCACTATTTAGTTAATGTTCTTGTTGTCTAGCCTTGTAATTGTTTATGTTAGCTGATGCTTTAGGAAGAAGCACAGGACTAACTAATAAAAAATGGAAATTTAGTCTCATCTGTATGTGGCTTCTACCATGGAAGTGTATGTAGCCCTTTCCTTAAACCCTTTTAGGAATCTTGCCAATGGTATTACTCCGCCACAACTTTCCATTGCCCACCCCCCACCCCCAGTGCTAATGCCTTGACATTGGATGATTTCCTAAAATGTAGAATTTATGTACATAGTTTTGAAAGGTCATCCTTGCTTATGAGCCTAGTATTTACCATGTAAAAATCAGCTCAGATTTAAAAATCAATCCAAGTCAAGCCCCCACTAAAATTGATCCTTCAAGTCACTGCACTTCCAAGAATCTTGCATTTCAAACCTCTCTTTATGCTATGTAAGTTATACTTAAAGATTCAAACTTTCTTTAGATATTGTGAAAATAATGTGAAATTATGCTCTTCCATATTGTAAGTGGAAAATATACATATAAAAATATTAAAACCTTGTTATACTTGTGTTCTGAGTCAAATCACATACAAAATGATGGATCTATATATTTTTTTTCAGTAATATAGAAGAATTTATAACACACTGTTAGAGGTTTTATGCAAAGTGAGCTCGTGCCCAGCTCCTCCCCCAGGATTCCCCATCTAAGTGGCCTGATAATGTTCACAACAAAGCTGCCTAAGCCAAAATCCTTAGCCTCTTCTCTTATACCTTGTCATCTGTCTATTTCAATTTCCAGTCGGCCATCAATTCCTGTGATATCATCCATCTAAATATTCTTTTTCTGACCACTCCCTTCCCCTGCCATAAACCAGTAATACTTGTTTGCTTTTGGACTTCCTCATAAACCTTCTAAATCAATTCCAGAATTCATATTCTTCGTCACCACTTCCTTGTCTCCCTGCCCTACCTTCTTTATGTTGAAGTCAGAGTATTTAACAACCAGATCTCAGTGCACCATTTCATTGCTTACATTGATTGTAGGGTAAAATGCAAAATCTTAGGAGCCCCTCAGGGAAATCCTTGTATAATCTGGTTCCTGTGTGTTTTAGTCATGCCATTTCAAGCCTGACTCCCCCTTGTTCTTTGTATTCCAGGCACATTGGCTTTCAGTTTCTTGAACTAGTCAGCTCATTTTCATACCAAAGCTTTCCCTCATGCTGTCTCCCTATATCTGGGATTCTGTTCCACACCCCACACCGTACAACCCTTCTGTATTGTATATAGGTAACACCTACCTATACTCCAGCTCTCTGCACCAAATCACTTCTACAGAAAAGTGTTTCTTGACCCCCATGTTAGGTAAATTTCTTCTATGATATCCTGGGAGCACTTAACATAATAAAAGTAATTGTAACAAATAAAATTAATAAAGATTAGAGCAGAAATAAATGATAGAGGGGTGCCTACCTGGCTCAGTGTAACATGTGACTCCTGATCTCAGGGGTTCTGAGTTCTAGCCCCATGTTGGGTATAGAGATTACTTAAAAATAAAATCTTAAAAGGGAGGAAGGAAGGAAGAAAGAAAGAAAATAGAAACTAAAAAACAAAACAAAACAAAAAAAACAATAGAACAGATCAATGAAACCAGGAATTGGGTTATTTGAAAAGATCAGCAAAATTGCTAAACCTCTAACAAGATTCATTAAAAAAAAAAGACCCAAATAAACAAAATAATGAATGGAAGAGGAGAAATAACAGCCAATATCACAGAAATACAATTATAACAGAATATTATGAAAACCTGTATGCCAACAAATTGGGCAACTTACAAGAAATGGATAAATTCCAAGAAACGTATAACCTACCAAAACTAAAGCAGGAAAAAATAGAAAATTTGAACAGACCAGTCACCAGCAATGAAATTGAATCAGTAATCAAAGAACACCCAAGAAACAAAAGTCCAGGGCCAGACAGCTTCACACGTGATTTCTACCATTTAAAAAAGAGTTAATATCTATTGTTCTCAAATTATTCTAAAAAATACAAGAGGAAGGAAACCTTCCAAAATCATTCTGTGAAGCCAGTGTCACCCTGATACCAAAACCAGATAAAGACACCACAAAAAAAGAACTACATGCCAATATCTCTCATGAATATGGATGCAAAAGTCCCTAACAAAATACTAGCAAACCGAATCCAACAATATATTTTAAAAAATTACACACCACCTTCAAGTAGGATTTATTCCTAGGATGCAAGGTTGGTTCAATAATTGCAAGACAACGTGATACATCACATCAATAAGAGGAAGGATAAAAACCATATGATCATTTCAATCGATGAAATGTACAAAGTACAATATCCATTCATGATAACCCTCTGCAAAGTAGGCCTACAGGGAACATATCTCAATATAATAAAGTCCTCATATGAAAAGTCCACAGCCAACATGGTACTCAATAGTGAAAAGCTTAGAGCTTTTCCCCTAAGGTCAAGAACAAAACAAGGATGTCCACTCTCACCACTCTTAGTTAACATAGTACTGGAAGTCCTAGCTACAGCAATCAGACAACATAATGAAATAAAAGGCATCCAAATTAGCAAGGAAGAAGTAAAACTCTCACTATATGCAGATGACCTGATACTCTATACAGGAAACCCTAAAGACTCCACCAAAAAACTACTATAAAGTTGCAGGATACAAAATCAATGTACAGAAATCTGTTGCATTTCTATACACTAATAAGCATCAGAAAGTGAAATTAAGAAAACGATCCCATTTATAATTGCACCAAAAACAATTAAAATATCTAGGAATAAACTTAACCAAAGAGGTGAAAGGCCTGTACTCCGAAAACTATAAAACACTAATGAAAGAAATTGAACACAAAGAAATGGAAAGACATTCCATGCTCAATGGGTTGGAAGAGCAAATGTTAAAATGAATAGATAATCAAGGTGTGGTATATATATGTATAAATACACAATGGAATATTATTCAACCATAAGAAAGAATGAAATCTTGCCATTTGCAACAACATGGATGGAGCTAGACAGTATAACGCTAAGGAAAATAAGTCAGAGAAAGACAATTACCATAGGATTTCACTCATATGTGGAATATGAGAAATAAAACAAATGAGCAAAGAAAAACAAAAAGAGACAAACCAAGAAACAGATTAACTGTAGAGAACAGATTGATGGTTACCAGAAGGGAGGTGGGTGAAGAGATGGGGGAAATATGGGATGGATATTGAAGAGTACACTTATCATGATGAAAAAAAATCAACTATGAATTACTTGACACATAATGATTAACCATATGAGTAATATAAGTACATATAATTTTAAAAACCATAATTAAATTTTAGTTGGAAATTTGCTGTCTCGCCCTCTAAAATGTAAGGTACATGAGATCAGCAACTGTGTTACCTATTTTTAGCAGTATATTCTTAGCAAAACACTGTGCTTCTAACCCTCTCTGTACCTAGAAGAAAGTATAAATTTAAAAAATATTTCTTCAGTATACAAATGGATAGAATTATCTTGTATCTGATTAGTAGAACAGTTCCACATTCTTATTTCTCTGTTCTGTAAAGTTAGTAAGCATTTGACCAGTTGAAATAAAAAGTAGATATTAATGCAATATGTTTTGTTGGTTAAAAAAAAGGTCTTTTATACTTAACTTTTATGCTTACTACCAAGTATACCTAATAAATTTCATTTTTATTTTTAAAAACCTTTTAAAACCTTTTAAAAATGTTCGAATAGCAGTATCCATATTTTACGTAGCCCCTTAAGAGATGTGAAAAATACCTTGAACTTACAAAAGTTTATTCATAAGATATCTCTGAATTTATAATTTGGATATCTATATGTACATTCCTTGAATGTTTATTATTTAATTTTTAAGATTTTACATTCATGTGTCCATATACACATATATAAAAACATACTCATGTATACATGTAAATATTTGCATTATGCAAAGTGTATTTTCCCACATGTAAAGACTGGCGCATTTGTCAGTGGGACTTAGGCAGATGTAATAACATGCAGATTGGCATGCCAGTTTGCAAACTGGTGTATTTATGCATGTGGGCTTAAATAAATGCAAGTATTATAACCCACATGACAAAAATTAGCAATTTGAAGTTTGAGGAAACAGTTGGGCCAAAATGTGTAACTTCCATTTAGAGCATGAGGGCTGTTTGTATGATTGTTAAACATAGGGAGTTACATTCTGGAAGGGAGACTTCGGGCATGATTTCCACAGTTCTTTCCTAGTTGTCCTAACTCCATTCGGAACAGTGTTCCAAGTATGACCACGAGGATGTAAATAGATATTAATGGTTGCTTAGTTTACTCTCACTCGCTTGAGAATAACAAACAAAGATTATTAAAAGATCATATCCACATATTTTAGTTACAGAGGATCCTTAGTTGGAACAAACAGTTAAAGCATCTATCTCAAGCTGATGCAACCACCAGAGACAATTGGGAAACCAAGACTGTGACTTTCTGTCAGATGGGACAACCCTGGTCTGTGGGGAGATTTTCCAGCATCCTTCAGGGGAAGCTCTGGAATTTGTGCTCATGCCACAGAAAAATTTACCAGTGGTCAGGGCATGTAGTGATTAATAATTTGCTTACCAGCAAGAAAGCAAATCTCAATTGCTCACCATTGGGGACCCTTGTTAAGACCCAAGAGTTGTGAAATATAAAGATCTGAGAAATATTCAAGAAGTTATGAATCTGGACATTTTTAAAAAGAACTTAGAGAAATATGAATTCCATTATCTCTGATCTAAGATTAAAAACTAAAAATTCAACTGACTAAAGAAGAGTATAAAACTCTTTGCACTAAGGAAGTTTCTGGGAATAATGGTTTTACTTCTGTGAGTTTTAGGTCTAACTTCATTAAGGAAGCAAAAAATCGTAGTTTTAAAAATTAGAACTGTGTACATTTTAAAATTATCATAACAAATAATATCAATTTTTTTCATGTTTTAATGTGCCATTGATGATGTTTCAGAGACATGATAGCAACTGGCTGTGAAGATAAAAATGTTCGTGTCTATTATGTGGCCACCAGCTCTGATCAACCACTGAAAGTATTTAGTGGACATACTGCAAAAGTGTTCCATGTTAAATGGTCTCCTCTGAGCGAAGGAATTCTTTGTAGTGGTTCTGATGATGGGTATGTATTTTTGGGTTCTAATTTTTTAGTCCTTAAAATCATAAGCTTATAATCTTCTAGAAATGTATGTATTTATATGATCCAACTTATGGGTGGAAATATTTTAAATATGTACATAAAACAAGGATGTATAAGCAGTTAACAATTACCTAATTGCATTTAACCATAGTAAATTAAATTTTGCCATGCTTATGTTATTATCATATTCATGATTTCTATTTCCTTACTTGTTTTGCTTATTATGCATGCTTATTTCTGTCTTATTAGCAACAGAGTTAACAGAAACAAAAATTTCAAAAGGATCAGATTGGAAAGGGAAAAAAGACTTGAAACAAACAAATCTCTGTAAAATATAGAGAAGAGTTTATTTTTAGTAATGTCCTGATATTTAATATGGAAAACAGCTGTACTCTGTTTTCATTAAGAATAGAAAACAAGAAGATGATCATGTATTTTTAGCATGAAGATAATTTATTTAGAAATGAGAGTGATTTAACATTTTTTTTCTGGGTTTGTGAAAAAGTTACTGAAATCTTGTCTCTATTTTATATTCAAACAGGATAGATTTTGCATAGTTTGGTCCCTATTTGAATATGAGATAAATTTAGGTAAGAAAAAATCTTACTTTATGCAGATAGAAATCATACTATACAGTAGCCACAAGTTTAATATTGAATAATTGATTATTTTCATCTTGAAATTTTGGCATCCGTCCAAATTTCCTAAGAAAAGCAATTTTAAGATTTCTGTGGGTTATCACTGGAAATGTTACTTACAGTAAGGTTATCGTGTCCAAGTGAATGAGTTGACTTAGAGATTTTTTGTCTCTTAACATAGACCTCAGTGTCTAAATTCTATTGCTACATCAAAAAAAGTATAATCTTCAACCATTGTCTAGGAAATATTTGTCAGAAAGATAGCAGTAAGCATTTTACTTAATTATGGTGATGGAACTTGAAAGTCTTTTGTAATTCTGGTTGTTGGTCCCTTTATATGACTATATAGATGATAACATGCTGTCTTTTAAATAATGCTTTTGTACAGTGGTGGATAAATAAAGCTTTTCTTGTGCTTGACTACAAAATATAATTATGATGTTAGCCTGATGTTTGCTTAATCTAAATTATGTCATAAAGCAAGAACTCCCGTTCTAGTATCTCTTATGATAACATTAAAGTATTTTGATACATCTCACTTTAACATTAGCTTATTTATGAAAGCATGATATTAACCAAAATAACTTCAATGCTAACATAAGGATTTAGCACAAAATTAGGTTGTGATATGCCTGGACACAGGTACCAGGATAAGGGGAAAAAGAAGTGAGTCTTCATAGAAAGCAGATATAAATATGCCTTAAAGAAATAAAAAAATATATAATGTGTCTCCTTTATAGTGTAATATAACCTTTGAAGTATTAATATTTTGGCATTGTCAGGTTGATATAAATCTGCAACTAAAAATTATTATGAATTAAGTTGGCATTTGGAGGTCTTAAATTGATTCTGAGTTCAAATTTTATTTCAATAACATTTCTGCTTTGTACAATTGGTAGATTCAAGTGATATCATGAATCCAGTTATATTTAAATTTTGTACTTGATTTTAGAATAACTATAAAATAATCAGCCAACTTACTTTATTGACCAAAACATGCAGGAATGATTTGCTCTGTGATAGGAGCATAAAGATGAATTGATTTTTCAAATAATACCCATCATCACACATGCTATATTTTCATGATTTACGAATAATGTGAGTGTTGTTAAATTATTATATCCATATTATTAGTAATATTTTTGGCTTTATCTGTTCTGGATATTTCACTTTAAGAAAGAAATTTTTTAAGTCTATAAACTGAAATAGTAGCTTTAGGATCAGTAGGAAAGGACCAGTTAAAGTAGGGAAACAAAATATTGAAATAGGCTAGCTCTAGCCTAGTTTTTCATTTTCATCTGCTATAAAGAAAAGAATTGTAACATACCTTGAAACTTAAAATCCTTTTTCAATTTACTGAGAAATAATTGTGCTCCACTAAGAATGTGTCAGTACTTCAGACAAATTATAACTTGAAAGGTATTATATACATAATATTCTGTTTTCAGTTCTGTTCGAATCTGGGATTATACTCAAGATGCTTGCATAAACATTCTTAGTGGCCACACTGCGCCTGTGAGGGGATTAATGTGGAATACTGAGATTCCATATCTACTCATATCTGGCAGCTGGGACTACACTATAAAAGTATGGGACACTCGAGAAGGAACGTGTTTGGATACTGTTTATGACCATGGAGCAGATGTATATGGTAAAGTGTTTTTCATGCACTTTTAAATTTTGCTGTATTAATGAAGTTTATCATCTCTGAGAAATACAATGTTTTTTTAAGAAAGCTTACGGTGTTTCACTTTAAAATAACATTCTTATTAAAACCGTACTTGTTTATTATTGAAATATCAGAATACACAGAAGATAGTCCAAAATGTCATGAGAAATTACTTGTGTTTCTGGGTGCACACACATGCACACACATGTGGCTTGGATTTTTCTCCCTTCCTTTACCATCACTCCAGAAGGACCTTGGAAAACAGGAAATCAGTGATAAAGTAGATATAACTTCTCTAGCCATTCCTGTATCTCTACTCTTGGATATGTAGGAAAATGTTTTGCTTTTTAATATAATAGTAAGTCTTTAAATACAGTTAAGCTGGGTATAGGACTCAGGGTTCTTGCATTTTGCATGTCACTTTCATTTATAGACCCAAACCTCAGTGGCCCTAAGTGGTGAATTAAGAAGATGAAAATGGTTCCTTAGAGAAAGTCACCCCACTCTAGGCACTTGGGTCCATATACTTTACCTCAGTGGCCTTTCAGTTGAGGCAGAGGGGCTGAGTGTGGGAGAGAATCCTTTTTCTGGATGTTCTAAACTGGGAGGTCCCAACTCTCTTTCTTCTTGTAATTAGAACTTCCGTCCATCCATTACCTCACAGGTTACCATGACTCCATTGGTGTGACAGTATGCTTGCTGCTGAACCAACTGAAATGCAGTTTCAACGTTTTCATCCAGGACCATTTGCTAATCATTATTCAATTTTCTATTTGTATTTATAAAATATGCTAAATAATATATTCTTGTATCATTTTCAGCCGAAATAGAAATGCTATTTCAAAAACACTTCTATATAACTTAAATTCTGTAGTTTTATGAGGTACGCATAGATAAGTAATATTTTTCAATGTTTACTTTAGTTGAAATAGGTTTCTTTTTTCCATCAGGTTTAACATGTCATCCGAGCCGCCCCTTCACTATGGCCTCCTGCTCCCGAGATTCTACAGTGAGACTCTGGTCGTTAACACCTTTAATCACTCCTCTACAAATAAATATTCTGGCAGACAGATCTTGGGAAGAAATTATCGGGAACACTGGTATTGAAAATAAGCATCTATTAGATTTTGCTTTTAAATAATATCTTACAAGCAACCCTTTCTCACTGAATTATGTCTGTTCTTTAGATCATGCTACAGCACAAGGCACTCCTCCTCTTTTGTGTGGTAAAGTATCAAGAGAGATTAAACACGAAATAGAGAAACTAACTGGTAATCCTCGAGCAAAAAAACTAAGGTGGTTTTCAGAATGTTTATCCGTGAGTATTACAGGAGTTAAATGTGAACATTTTCCCTGTAGTCAAAATGAACCATTGCAAGTCTTACCATTATCACATATTTACATGTATCATCCCAGCTCAGCTGGTCCCTCTGAGCATAGTTGGTGCAGAGTAAGAAAGCAAATGGAAACCAGAAACAATAAAGGAGGTCAATTATTGTTATTATTTGGTTAATTTTTCAACTTAGATATGCCTGCATCATATTTTTGAAAATGCAAAATTCTGTGGGGTTTTGAATGCATTATTATTATATCTTTGGTTATTCTGAATCAACCTTTTAGCCTCCAGGTGGCAGTGACAATTTGTGGAACTTAGTTGCTGTGATCAGAGGGCAGGACGACAGCCTGCTTCCTCAGAACTACTGTAAAGGAATAATGCATTTGAAGCATCTGATTAAATTTAGAACGGTAAGTGAAGTATGCAAGGATCACGTCCTCAAGCAGAAATTATTTTTGCCTTTTCACTGTTGAAATACAAGAATTATTTTGAAAAATTTATAGAATTAGAGTGAGTAGCCTGAAGTAAGTGAACATTGAGGAGATAAATTTTCAGTGAAAACCGATCATGAGAGTCTGAATTATCTGAGACCAGATTAAGGCAGCCTTGGTTCCCATAGGTCGAATCTCATGAATTTCTTCAAAGGTCACTTGGAACTACTTGAAATGCTTTACCCTATTACCAGATGACTGTGACATGTGGACCACTCTGACTTTAGTCTCAAGGGCCTGATAGACTGTATTTTGGGATATGTTTTATTAAAACTGGCCATGTTAGAACTCTTAATGGATTTCATTTCAAAATTATCAGTGACCTTATGCATGGAGTGATATCCAGTATCAACACACCGGTGCTGGGACCAGAAAGAGGAAGTAGCTCTTATATTTGCAATGAAATATCATGGTTAACTTAGCTGTTAGAGCATGAGAACTGGGCCAGAGATGTGGATTTGAGGGTCATACGAAACAGTTATTTTCATAAAGGAGGACTTTCTGTAGTCACACCACCACCTAAGGACAACAGCTCTTACCTCTTGCCAGTACAGGAGCCAATTAGAATGAGCCTGTCATTTTTTATTTTTATTCCAGACTTTTGTACATTTTTTCACTAGTTATATATCACTTTATCTCTCATGACCTTTTGGCCCCTGAACGTCTATAGAACCACAACACCTGGTGAGTTTTAAGGACAATGGGGTTTAGCCTCTCCCTGCCCACACCAGACACATCCACGCTTTACCCTGCACCCACACCAAAATATTATAGTGGAAGAGGTATCATATTTTATAGAGAAAAAGTATTGATTTTTTAGAATATTTAATTTCAGTGCTACGTGCTTTTTAAAATACATGCCCCTGTAGTGCTTTTATAATCATCTGTTATCACCAGCTCTTGTATAACAAAATTTAGAAAATTTTATTTTCTTTTTAACCAGTCTGAAGCCCAAGAATTGACAACAGTCAAGATGTCTAAATTTGGTGGTGGTATTGGTGTCCCCACTAAAGAGGAAAGGCTGAAGGAAGCTGCTGACATACATTTGAGATTAGGACAAATTCAGAGATACTGTGAACTGATGGTTGAACTTGGAGAGGTAAAGTGCTAAAATCAGTGAGTTTAACGAAGTATTCTAAGTCTTGGTGAAATGCTAAATATTAAGCTTCTCTTTTTCCAGATGTATTTGCTTCTTTGCTGGTCTGGTATCAGGTGTATATCTGAGCAGTACTTCTCAAAGTGAGATCACCTGGACTAGCAGCATCGGCATTACTTGGAAACGTGTTAGACATGCATGTCCCGCCCCACACCTACAGAATCAGAAACCCCGGGGATGTAGCCCAATGATCTGTGCTTTTACAAGCCCTCCACATTATTCACATGCATGCTAAAGTTTGAGAATCACTGCCCTAAGGGTAGGCTCTTTGATACCCCATAAATACCCATGTTGGCTGAGTGGCACACGGTGGACTCCCCTTGCTAATACTGTTTGTCGTGAGTAAACCCCACACTGGCCAGAAGAAGGGTTTCATTGAGGATCATCTGGTGAAAGATGCTTCTAAGGCACATCTTGATTGTTTAGAGGACTGATTCAACAAAACAGAGTTTTCAAAAGAGGTTAAGATGAATCTATACTATTAAAATTCAAGATAGTGGTTCTTTTGAAAAGTGGGTGGTAAATAAAATAGAACAAAAGGGGGAAGGAGCTTCTGTTTCTTGATCTGGGTGCTGGTTACTTGAATGTATTCATTTTGTGCAAATTTATGAAGCTTTTCATTTTTATTAACAGCCATTTTAGCTCAAGAAAAATTCTCCCACCCCTCCAAAAAAAAAAAAATTAGAATGGCATGGAGTCATTTCATAGTTGATCATTTTGAAAAGCTCTAAGTTAATTTTATAATTACAAAGCATGCTATTAAGTGTACTAATAAATAATATAAAGTAAAACTAAGCAGTAAAGTTACATTAAAATACATCAAAATTAAATTTAACTCACCTTTTTATTCCCCCATACACTAGAGGCAAATAATGAATTACTGCTTGACCTAAGACAAAATGTCATTTAAAAATGTTACTGAAAAGGAAGGGGTGCGTGGTTGTCTCAGTTGGTTAAGCGTCTTACTCTTGATTTTGGCTCAGGTCATGATCTCGGGGTCATGAGATCGAGCCCCAAGTCTGGCTCTGTGCTGGGCATGGAGCCTGCTTAAGATCCTCTCTTTCTGTCTCCCTCTGCCCCACCCACCTCCCTCTCTTGTGCGTGCACTCGCTCTCTCTCTCTCTCACTCTAAAGAAATTAAAAAAAAAAATTTTAAGGTATTGCAAACTATAAAGGGTTTAGGAGCAATATAAAAATTTTACTTCTGAAGAAGTTGAGGTGTCTTAAAAGTTACCCTTTTAACAAGGCTCTATTAGAATATTTAGTCAAGGGGCGCCTGGGTGGCTCAGTTGGTTAAGCGACTGCCTTCAGCTCAGGTCATGATCCTGGAGTCCCTGGATCGAGTCCCGCATTGGGCTCCCTGCTCGGCAGGGAGCCTGCTTCTCCCTCTGACCCTCTCCCGTCTCGTGCTCTCTCTCATTCTCTCTCTCAAATAAATAAATAAAATCTTTTAAAAGAATATCTAGTCAAGGAGAAAAAGAATAATAAATTTTGACAGAATACTAATTCTTCATCTTCCTCAGTTTTATATCTGGGTATATGTATTTCTAAGCTATATTTAATTCAAATTTAATTAAAGATACTTTAATAAAGTATCTACTTCTGGAGCTTAAGAATTTTGTTGTTGTGCAGTTTCATTAATGTTCTTAATGATCCAAAGAACTGTGCTTACAGTCCTTGAGAAATAGGAATGTCCTTGTAATTGTTCATGGTCACCTCCTTCCGTAGTTTCTGTTCCTCTGAGATTAATACTGTGAGGTTAGGAAAACATTTAATCTTTTCACCTATAAGACATGTTTTTATAGAAAAATCTTGATGATTTCTAAGTTAATTTAACCAACATTTTAACTTCTTTCTTCCATTTGCCTCTACTATAATAAAGGCAAATTTCCCTAAAAATATATTTTAGATTACTTTTTTAAAAAAGGTAACATGACTACAAATAATATAGTATTAAAAATTACCCATTTTGTACACCCGACACTAATATTACACTGTATGTTAACTGGAATTTAAATAAAAACAAAACAAAAGTTACCTATTGAAAATTTAACCCCTTATTTTCAGGCTAATTACCAATTTTCTAGCCTTAATTGCAGTAGAATTCTACTGTTTGGGAGAGCCTTAATTAAAATGAAGCTTAGATTCATGTTGTGATATTTCAGAATACTTTACCTTCATCTCCCTTCTAGACATAGTTCAGTGAAATCTATATTTCCATATAATTGTCCACTTGCCTTGACTGAACAATGATCTTCTTTAATAACAGTCTAATTTTTAAAATGTGAAGATCGGTATTATCAACTATAAAGGAAGAAGTGACAAGAAATAAAGTTTATAAAAAACAAGGAAAGAATAAAAATAGAAATAAACATCTTATTTGTTAAACAGAAGTGACAGTGTAGTAAAAATTTCAGTATGTATTATTTTGAACATAGAACATAGTTACCATAGAACAGATTACTCTGAGGTTGTGTCAGAAGATGAGTTAATATATTTTTCAAACTACATACTTTAGTTACTACTCTTCTCCTTCCCTCACTCTGCCCCTGCCCTCTAGGTTTGGGACTTTCCATGCTAAATAATACAATTTATATATCTTACTTAATTTTAAAATGTGGTATATTTATACTCTGTGGAATGCATCAGATAGAATACAAAAATATTCCTGGAAATCCAAACACTCTAAAAACACACTAGAAACTCATATTATACATGTGAGTTCATTAAAAAAAAAAAAAAGTCCATTAAGAGTTAGTGCAATCGGGCACCTGGGTGGCTGAGTCGGTTAAGCGTCTGCCTTCAGCTCAGGTCATGATCAGGTCAGGAGTCCTGGGATCGAGTCCCGAGTTGGGCTCCCTGCTTAGCTGGGAGTCTGTTTCTCCCTCTGCCCCTCCCCTGGCTTGTGCTCTCTCTCACACTCTCTCTCTTTCAAATAAATAAATAATATCTTTAAAAAAAGAAGAGTTAGTGCAATCAAAATAGACCTGTTTTTGCCTTTCTTTTTTTCTGTTCTAGTGGGACAAAGCCTTGTCAGTTGCACCAGGGGTGTCTGTGAAATACTGGAAGAAGTTGATGCAGAGGTAAAGAGAGTCTGTGTCCAAATACATGTTTTAAAATATGTTAAAATGGAAGCAGTATATAAATACGAGAGCACCTTTTGAGATTTTTTTTACTGTTATGTTGTCTTTAAAAATAGCTGAATTTTATGTCTACTAATACAGTGAATTAAATGAATCGGTTACCAGTCGTTTTGGTGTTCTTATATTTGACCTGACATCTGAAAGAGACAGTGGAAGGCAGATTTTCCTATGTCAGTGGAGGGACTGACAGATCAGTAAACATACTTATTGGTTAATATATTGCTATTGAAATATAAGTGGTAAGATTTTCTGACGGTTACCAAAAGTTCACAGAATACTTATTCTATAAATAATCTCAGAAATTCTCTCTGGACACTGGTCCCTGCCATCTCCTGTCCATGAATATAAAGGAGGAACTGATGACTGAGAAGACTTTCTGAGATATATTAGTCTCTTACGGCTGCTGCAACAAAGTACCATCAACTGGTTGGCTTAGAACAACGGATATTATTCTCTCACAGCCCTAGAGGCTAGCGGTCCAGTATCAGGTTGCCGGAAAGATTGGTTCCTCCTGAAGGCTCTGAGAAACACTCAGTTCCATGCTTCTCCCCAGCTTCTGGTGGTTACGGGCAATGCTTGGCATTTACTGACTCATGGATGCATCACTCCAACACCTGCTTTGTTTTCACGGGGTGTTATTCCCTGTGTGTCTCTGTGTTCACATTTCCATCTTTCTTTGTGAATACCAGCCATATTAGATTTAGGGTCTACCCTAAACCAGTATGACTCCATCTTAACGGATTACATTGGCTAAGACCGTAATTCCAAATAAGGTTACACCTGTAGATATCATGGCTTCCTACTTCAACATATCTTTTGGGCAGACACATTTCGACTCACAACATAAGACTGTTTTCTATTCTATTCTATTCATTCGGTGAATATTTATTTAGTTAGTGTTCACTTTGTGCCAGTCTCTGTGCTAAAGCCTGTAGAGTACTATTTAATGAGTAATTGCCTTGCTTCTGGCATCAGAAAGTTTTGACTTTCTTTCATGGGACATGATTTAGAAACAAAATCAACTGCAGCTCACATGTACAAATAAAAATCTGTCAGAGGCTAAACATGAAATGCAAAAGGTTAACAAACATATCTGCCATGGGAAAGTAGACTGTTCCCCAGCGCCTGCTTTCCCAGTGGTAAGTTTATCAACGGGCTGGCTCCAGCCCCCCCACTGTAGGCTCCCCATCTTAAGTCCTAAGAATCCCAAATAATTCCAAGTTCCTCTACTGCACAGCTGTGAATGTTATCCCTCCCACTGAAACCTTAATAAGGTCAAGTTAACAGACGATGTTTATTTCACAAAACAATTTTGTTTCAACCTCAGCAAAAACTATTTCATTTATTTTGGGAAACCAGCACCTAATTTTCTCTGGTGGCCAGAAAATGGTCTCCCCACAATGCCACAACTGACAGTATCTGAGCCCTGGTTCCTAGCAAGGGGATGTTATTCCTCTAACAAGGAAATCAGAGTCACGTGGTTAAAAACAGTCGTTGGGGAGAACGCCAGTGACCCTGTGAATGGGAGACTGTTAACAGTGAGCTGGGCAAACAAAATCTGTCTGCTACACCTACCCAAAGATTGGCAGTTAATGTAGTTTTTTGTGGTTTTTTTTGGCAGTTAATGTAGTTTAATGCAAATGCCAGCATAAGTTAAATAGACCAGATTAATTTTCAACGAAACTGTAAGAGTTGAATTAATTTGGTTGATCATTGGGAAACTCCTGGGACTTAGTTAGGAAAAGAGAAAGACAGGATACAGAGAGAGACAGAGCAGACATACTTACACCCTTCATCATCTCCAAGATCAGGATCCTGTTTTCCCCTCACATATCGGGAGCATTATTTTTTTAAACTACCTTGCTTGGGGCACTCATAATATTCTGTATTTTATTATCAATTCTTATACTCTTATGTTGTCTTTTGTAATGATTTTAAGCTACTTATATTTAGAAGCTCTCCATTCATTGTTGTGATCACTAAAACATTTAAAATTCTACTGTCTTTAATGAAGCAGATGCCTGTGTATTTATTAATGCAGTTGAAGTGGATAACCCATCACGCATACCTAGTTTACAACTTATTTTCAGAAAATATATTGCTCATTTTAATAGATAAGCTACATTCATTTTAAGACGTAAAATGTTCTGTGGCATTTAAAAATATGAAAATATGTAGTGTTCTAAGAGAAAGCAAGTATCGTATTTATTATTCCAGAAAACTTTTGTCTTCCATATCTGATTTGATTATAAAATCTGAGGCTTTTAGAAAAGTGATGTGAACCATGAGAGACGATGGACTCTGAAAAACAAACTGAGGGTTCTAGAGGGGAGGGGGGTGGGAGGATGGGTTAGCCTGGTGATGGGTATTGAGGAGGGCACATTCTGCATGGAGCACTGGGTGTTATGCACAAACAATGAATCATGGAACACTACATCTAAAACTAATGATGTAATGTATGGGGATTAACATAAGAATAAAAAAAAAGTGATGTGCAAAAGGGCTTATGAACTCTACCGCATATTTTGAATATTTGAATGTTTTAGATATTTCAGATATTTCAGAAAATCTCAGTCCAACGTAGAACCTTGAAATTAGTATATTATAAAAGAAATTGTTCTTATTTTATTAGGAGAGCAGATCAGTTAATCCAGGAAGATAAGGATGATGTCGTTCCATACTGCATTGCCATTGGTGATGTGAAAAAATTAGTCAGCTTTTTTATGTCAAGGGGTCAGCTTAAAGAAGCTCTGCTTGTTGCACAGGTAGGACGATGTAACCACACAAACTCCATGCCCTGGTGGGTGGGGGTGTGGAAGGAAGGCTGTGTTGACTGACCACACGTGCCTTCACATGATCCGGAGTCGTAGACAGCTTGGCTTTTGCCCACCTCCCAGCCGTCTCTGTCCACGTTGCAGTCACACAGTCTGGTCACACCGAATGTACTTTAGACCTACAAGAAGCCCTGAAGTCTGAACTTTTCGTGTGCTGATGAATGTCAGATGTGGTTGAGCAGCTTTTTCGAGTAGCCATGTACTTGTAGATACAAAGGGAGTTCACCTTTTTTTTCCAAATTCTAAGGGTATCTCCAAATTGTATAGATTTCAAAACGATTTGAGTGAGCAGTTGATCCTTGAACAACACAGAGGTTAGGGGTATTGAACCCCCACCCAGTCAGAAATCCACATACAACTTTGGACTCTCCCAAAACTTATCTACTGATAGCCTACTGTTGACCAGCAGCTTTACTGAAAACATAGTCGATTAACATATGTTTTGTATATGTATTGTATACTGTATTATTACAATAAAGTAAGCTAGGGGAAGAAACGTTATTAAGAAAATCATAAGGAAGAGAAAATACATTTACAGGATTGTACTGTATTTATTGAAAAAAAAAAAAAGTCTGCATGTAAGTGGACCCACGCAGTTCAAACCCATGTTGTTCAAGGGTCAGCTGTACTTTGATCAAAATAATATTCTGAAATTGGTCAGCTATCAACAATTAGCTAAAAATTAATTAAAGATTTCATTAAATTCCAGGCTGCTTGTGAGGGAAACATGCAGACCTTACATGTTTCTACACCAAAAGGATCTTCATCTTCTGATGATATCTACAAGGAAGACTTTAAAGAGTGAGCATTTTATTCTTTGCGTGGGGTCTTATTTTATTTTATTTTATTTTTTTAAAGATTTTATTTATTTATTTGACAGAGAGAGAGATAGCGAGAGCAGGAACACAAGCAGGAGTGGGAGAGGGGGAGGCAGGCTTCCTGCTGAGCAGGGAGCCCAATGTGGGACTCGATTCCAGGACCCTGGGATCATGACCTGAGCTGAAGGCAGATGCTTAACGACTGAGCCACCCAGGTGCCCGGATATTTAGACTTTTAAAGTAAAAAAGAGTCATACAATGTTAAGCAAATAATGTATTGTGACCAACATACTCCTTCCTGGTTCTTCACTGCTGTTCTCTGCCATTTCTTTCTTTCTTTCTTCCTTTTTTTTTTTAAGATTTTATTTATTTGTCAGCGAGAGAGCACAAGCAAGGGGAGCAGCAGAGGGAGAAGCCGGCTCCCCGCTGAGCAGAGAGCCCGATGCGGGACTCGATCCCAGGACCCTGGGATCATGACCTGAGCCGAAGGCAGATGCTTAACTGACTGAGCCACCCAGGCGCCCCTATTCTCTCTCATTTCTAAACTTGAACATACACTACCTGTATTTTGTGTCACCACCTAAATTCTGAAAAGTTACAGTTCAACCTATAACTCTTCTAAGGTTGACTGTCCCTATAGCTGAGTTATAAATGATTCAGTGTAGGATGGTAAATTTTGAAAGTTAGGCTTTTCTTCTGACATTTGTGGGGGAGGGGAGCCCACTTATCAGTTTGTCTGCCAAGCCTGCTTTCCTGATTTTTTTTTTTTTACCAAAAATCGGTCTTTATACTTGAATCAAAGAGATCAAATTAAATCCGATTTTATCCTTTAATCAGCTTGTTATTATAAAAGGGCAATAGCCCCTTTTATGGTGGAATCTTTGTGTTTATAGAGAATGTATACTATTTTCTTTTCTAGACTCCTGCGCAAAGTCAGTGAAGAACTGGCTGAGTGGTATTTTCAGGACGGTCGTGCCGTGCTTGCGGCATGTTGCCAGCTGGCTGTGGATAACACTGAGGTACGGCTCACGGTGGTGTGTGTGGATGAAGAGCTCTTAAGATGTGTCATGGTGTTTGGAAAAAATATGGCAACTTCTCTGTGAGATCTGATTGTACATGCTTTCCAAGCCTGAGCTTCCACGCCTCCTGAGCACACATAAACTCTACAGACTATGAGATCTTTTTTTTTTCAATTTATTTATTTTTATCACAAGATACATGTTTGTAACAGTCTTACTTTAGGTATTTCGTTCTGTGTGAGAAGCAGTAATGTGGTAAAGGGAAAAATCTCTGGACTGGGACTCGGAATACCTGACTTTTGAAAGCACTTATTTTTAAGTATACTTTAGTATATTCTTCACAGATTGTTTTTAAGGTATTTTCCATTTGACCCACTAATCTAATAAGAATGTGAAGTAAAGATGGATTCTGTTTTGCATGTATCCTTAGATATAGTATAGTTAAGGGATAATTGGTAACCATTGTACACTATTGAAAAAGCTTTTAAGAATTTACATTGTTTTGGGATAGATTGAAGGATATGTTGAGGATATGGCAGAAAGACTGTTATTAATTAATTACAAAAATATTACTAAGGCTTTTAAACTTAAATTCTGACCTTATAAAAATTTCCTGTATGTCCTTTTATCACGAATTTTCCACCTGGAAATTGCATTTATGCTTATATAAGTATAGGAATATGACATTCAATATTTTATAAGAATGATTGATTATAGGTTAGTACTACTTTATCTACTGTATGAGCTTGGCGGGGAATGATGATCCAATCCAGCATCTGTGAAACTGAAGGAATTATTTTCTTATTGAGCAAGCTTGCTATGGCATACCTGATTCGTGGGAATGAGCTCGAGTTGGCCGTGTGTGTGGGCACAGTGCTGGGGGACGCTGCAGCACCCGCCACCCACTATGCCCTGGAATTGTTGGCAAGAAAATGCATGATGACTCCAACATGGTAAGATTTTCTAAATTCAAAGAATGATTCTATAGTGATGGAATACGTTTTTTAAATATCATAAGTTGCATTTGATGTGTGTTGGGAGAATGCAGCATCTCCTTTTTTTAAAATAAAAGCAGATTGTGGGAGGAAACCATGCTATGACAAGGAAGTAACAGTGAGAACTACCCTGGTTATATAAGGAAATCTTCCACGACCCATTCTGACGCAGGGCAGATGGAACTCCATGATCGTTTAAGCACACAAAACATCATGAGAATAAATGTGTGCTTCTTAAGAGAATCAGGACCACACATTTCCACGTTTTAAATTCTACCTCTCTGCCCTCATTCTTGTCGGATCTTGTGTCTTAGTTTAAGGTTTGGAGAATAAAGTCACTTTTCTAATGGAGAGTAATAACGTGGTTTAGCCGGAGACTTGGAGCAGGCCATTTCCCCAAACCTGAGCAGCATGCTAAGAAATTGACCCTGGGAAGGCCCTGTCACAGCAGTTCTCGTTCCCTTCTGCAGCGCCCTGATCTCAGGGCAGGTAGTCCTTCCTTATGGAGCCACTCAGGAGAGAGACGATGCTGACAGTCAATAGGTGGTTATTGAATAAAGGCGATTTTAGACTTTTATCTTCTCTTTCCCCAAGTACTTAGAACCTCAGGGAGTTTCTAAGTGAACTTGTTTCTCAGGTCTTGCACCTCTTCCCACCTTACGCCCCATGCACATACATACCACTCTTACAATGGAGCTACACAGACTCCACTGTTGAATTCTACAGATAATAATAATATTAATAATAAGGACAGCTAACGAACCCTTCTGCGCTGCTTACTGTATGCCATGTACTGTTTTAAGCACTTTACATGTAATAACTGACTAGGTACTATGCTGTTGATATTGATTTGCCTCAGGCCTCAGTCAGTGTTAGAGCCAAGATTCAAGGTTACATAAACTGGCTGCAAAGTTTGCACTTAGCTACTGTCTTAGTTCAGACTGCTACAACAAAATGTCCCAGACTGGGTGGCTTATAAACAACAGAAATTTGTTTCTCACAGTTCTGGAGGCTGAGAAGGCTAAGATCAAGATGCTGGAAGATTTGGTGTCTGATGAGAGCTGGCTTCCTGGGTCATCACTGGCCATCTTCTTGCTCTGCTCACTTGTGGAAGGAGCTAGCTAGTTTATGAGAGCACTAATCCCGTTCATGAGGGCTCAGCCCTCAGGATCTAATCACCTCCCAAAGGCCCCTCTTCTAAATACCATTATATTGGGGATTAGGTTTCAATATAGGAATTTGGGGGGCAACACAAGCATCCAGTCTCTGGATCAGCTATCATGCTATCCCACCTCCGTAATCTGTGGCTAAGTCAGCAAAAGAGCAACACTTCCCATTTTCCTCTTCTTTCTGGATCTGGGGGCTTCACAGCAAATCAGGAATCTCAGGGGTTTTATAATTTTTTACCTATATTATGATAAGAGCTCCCTCCCCCAACCCAAATGTAGTAGCCCCCCAATATCAGCCTTAGACTGAAATGTCTTAAATGCCCACCATCCTTAGCGCCCAGTTTTCCCTCTGTCAAGAAGGATAGCAGTCAGTTACCTACTTGCCTTGGACCCATCCCAAAGCATGAGGTTTAACTCAGATTTATATTCACAAAAGTGACCAACTCCATGCTAAAAGTCATCATCTAATCTAAATAAAATGTGATTCGTTTTTTTGTTGTTGTTTTTTTTTTTTTTAGGTGAGGGTAAAATGTAGCAAAACAGAAATAGAAATTAAATTTAAGTCTAAAAAATCTTTCAACTGACTATATGTCTTAGTTGCTTTTCATATAAAACAAACTTCCATTTCCTTGTAACTGCCCCAAGAAGTTTCCTTTATATATCCATAGATACATGTACCATAAACTAGGATAAAGTTCAAATTCTGAAATATGTGGCGCCGATCAGGTTTATTTCCAGGAGGAATCTGTAATCCTCAGGGGTATTCATAGAGCTCCAGAAATTTAGGTAAAAATGGATAGCTGCATAATTTCGAGAGAATGTTCATAACATTTACTGGTAAAAGTTTCCTTCTTCTTGGTTCTCGTTGCATATTATCCATGGTATTCATATTTAAAATCCTTTTCTTTCTAGCTTTCCATCTGTTGGATACAGGTATTATCTAGTTTTATAAAAACATTTAATTAAAAAACTATGTTTTATTTTAGTTTTAGAATATTAACTCTATATTAAGATCATTACCTGTTCTTCATTGTTTTACAGAATGCTAGTTCATTTATAGAATTTATAACATATGAAACCTAACTACAAAGTAATAAGGACTGTTCGTGTAGCCTAGATACAAAATCACTCCGGATTTTATACTTAAAACTTGTGTAATAAACAAACTGTGACTTTCTGCGGTACAAAATGATAGTTAATAGCTAAGCAAGTGAAAAATGGCTGTTCTGGTAGCAAAATTTAAGATTTTAGATTATTTGGTAGGTTTGTATCATTACAAATATGTACATTTTCCCCAATTGGTGAACTAAATTTTCAATAAATAGTAAATTACACTAAATAGTGAATAAAATTAGCTAGCATTGCTATAAATTTCAGTGTATCAGGATGTAATTCTACAGTGAGAAAGTCAGGTTTTTGTCTGTAGTTTATAGAAGTTTGAATAGAATTTTAGCACAGCTATTTTATGCACTATAAAAGCAAGTGGTAATTTCTATATTCTCATGGACATAATTGAATACTGCTATTAAATGTTGGTATCAGAAAATACAGTTATTTAAACCTTTTAGTAAGAACAGATGAATTACCCTGATTTGAGACTTGTAAAAACACTCAAAGATTTACCTGCTCTGTGATGATAGAATATTTGACACACACAAATTGTGTCTATTCCTGTTCTGTGCCCATGATATACTTGATTAAATATCTCTTAATGTTTTTAAAATAATTATTCACATAAATGACCAACGTACATTTTACTGAAGGCTTTACAAAGAAGGTGAGGGAGGATTTTACCCTCAGAAGTCTTCCCTTCAGAAATTCACATTTGAAGGGACGCCTGGGTGGCTCAGTTGGTTAAGCGACTGCCTTCGGCTCAGGTCATGATCCTGGAGTCCCGGGATCGAGTCCCACATCGGGCTCCCTGCTCGGCAGGGAGTCTGCTTCTCCCTCTGACCCTCCCCCATCTCATGCTCGCTCTCTCTCATTCTCTCTCTCAAATAAATAAATAAAAATATTAAAAAAAAAAAAGAAATTCACATTTGAAATATTGTCTATTCTCAAGTTATGCTGAATGTGTCATATATCAGTTTCTTGAAAATAGAATAACTTCTCAAACCATTCAAAATTCGTGTCTTCTCAGTTATGATGTATGCAACCAAAAACTCTTTACCTAGTGATTTTTAAAAAGTGGTATACAAAATATTTTTAACGTAAAGCTGTTGAGTCCATACAACACCTTAAAATACCTTATTTTTTAAGTGATTTATTCCATTTACTGAATCTTTAAAAAGTAAATCAGAAAATTGCATTTCTATCTTTGATTTCCACCTAAAGTCTAGGAGAGATGCAGAATATCCAAAATTCTAAACTTAAAACATCTAAGTATTCTGTTGGTTTTAAGGAGCTGGCTAATCCAGCTGCAGCTGGCTAGCATAACTAAAGCTGATGAGAATTAGTTTTCACAAAGTTTGCTTTATAATTCACTCCAAAGAATATGTCTAATTCTACTTAGTTTGGTTAGAGAATTATTCTGTAATAACAAAATTAATTGCAAATATATAAAGATTCATTTTGATTTTTAAAAAATTATAGAAATTTCATAATCCATTTATCCTTCATGCTCTTCGGTTTCTGTCATCTACATTTAGAAGACTTCCATAATTAGGTAGGAAATTAGTACTGTTTATATAAGTAGAAAATCGAGGGAGGTGGTAGAGTTTTCTTCCTTTGAAATAGTTCTAAATGTTATTTTTAGATTTTTTTCCTTAATTGAAGTTTCCCCTTTTGTTATGTACATAGGAACCTGGCAGCTGATCTTCTCCTGATGACTCCTGATAATGAACTGCAGTTAGTTAAACTCTGTGCTTTCTACCCCGGGTGTACTGAAGAGATAAATGATCTTCATGAGAAGGTACGCAAGGGATATTACATACTCCAGTTTGGAATGCAGTGCTGTGATTTAACTTATTTTAGGTTCGGGCACATAGAGATTCAGGCAGAGAAACAAACATATCCCTTTCCAACCCTTTTATAAATATAACAGAAATGGTAACAATACGTGACATTTGTTGAGCTTCTACTGTATGCTTGGAATAGTCCTAGATTTTCACATAGATTTGCGTTTTACTCAACTCCCATGAAACCCTGAAAAGCAGGGGCTATTGTTCATATTTTACAAAGAAAGTGAGCTCAGAGAAGGTAAGGAACTAACCTCAGTTAAAGGTGGAGGGTGAATTTCAGCTTCAGCATGTCTGCCTCCATGTCCCAAGCCCTTCCCACTCTGCCACTCTGCATTGTAAGGAACATGTATGCTAACTTTTTAAAAATAGGCAACTTAGGATCCTTAAAAGAGTTAATGAAGTATAATGAAATTCACATGCATTACTCTAAAACGCCTTAAAGAATTATTCCTTTGTAGAATATAGGAATTTACGTACCAAGATCATATATAAAAACAACCAAAATATTCAATAATTGGAAGATTGTTTATGTAAATTGCAGTACATTTCTGTATTTCAGTGCTTTTAATCCATTAAAAAGATCATGAAGCTCTGTTTTTATTGACATTGGTAGATGGCTGTAAAACAGTCATATAAAAAAGCAGAATACGAAATATGCACATGCCATGTGATTTTCATTTTGAAAATAACTGTACATATTTGTTATTTATAGCATATTTAAGGAGATATGTAAAATTCTTTTAAGAAAAATGTAAGATATAATAAAACATTTTCTTATCTTTAACTCCAAAAAACAATGTTTTGTTTCACTTACATGAACCTTGATTTGTCCCCAGGGGCTGAGTGGGGATAGGGATATCCATCAGTGGATACTTACTAAGTATTATGATAGTACAAATAGACAAGGAGTGTGTGTGTGAGTGTGAGCATGTGTGTGAGCGTGTGTGAGAGCGTGAGTGTGTGAGCGTGTATGTGTGTGAGTGAGCGTATGCGTGAGCGTGTGTGAGTGACTGTGTGATACCAGGGGAAATACTTGTGAAAGGATAAGTGTGCACAGCGACCAGGGGGTTGTAAGATTTTGGGTGATTTAACTTCTTTTTACACTTTGTATTCTGTGAATTATTTTTTAAATGAGCCGCACTTGCTTTTACAAACATGACAAAAGCAATTTCCATGTTGAAATTCAAATAGGGAAGGAAGTAGGAACTGCACATTTGCCGCATAGTGCCTTTTTTTTAAGTTCTGTTTATTGATATGAGAAAGAGAGAGTGGGAGCAGGGGAAGAAGAGGGCGAGGGGGAGGGCCGGAGAGAGGGCGAAGCCAGCTCCCCGCTGAGCGCAGAGCCCTGTGCCAGGCTCAGTCCCAGGACCCTGAGACCAGGACCTGAGCCGAAGTCCGCCACGTAACCCACTGTGCCACCCAGGCGCCCTGCCTAATGCTTTAAGTGTAACCCATATACCTCCTGAGGTGAGAACAGCAGGCGCTAATATTGGGGCTTAGAGAGGCAAGACATCTGTCTGTGTTTACACCCTGGTAATGACATGGGTAAGATGGCGTTTACATAGTCTTTTCATCACATGTTCTAAAAGGATGTCATCAGACTTTCTGGTCAGACTTCATTAATAACTCTTTAGACAGACTAGTCAGTGTGTGTAAAGGTGTTACTAGCTCGGGACAACTTCACAAGTAATGTTAAAAATTATATTTTCAAATATTAATTTATATAACTTTTGGAATTTTAAGACAGAAATGACAGGAATGATCATCTTACTCTTTTATTTGAGAATAAAATTTCAACAGAAACCATTTTTTTATTTCCTTTACTCTTTGAGCATATATCAAAGTGAAGAAGCTTTACTTTATCTAGCCAGGCAGAGTACCTAGCACGTAGTAGTTGCTCAGTAAATAACTGGCATTTAGTAAATGAAGATGGGGAAGCAATGTGAAATGTTATATGTATGAAAGCTCCTTTAATTTAGTTTGTTGTAATTTTTTAAGAGAGAGATTGAGGAATCTAAAATGTTCAGTTTACCAAATTTTTATTTATTTTTTATGTTTTTATTTAACTTCCGGGTAGTTAACATCCAGTGTTATATTAGTCTCAGGTGTACAATATAGGGATTCATCACTTCCATACATCACCCGGTGCTCCTCCCAACAAGAGCGCTCCTTAGTCCCCATCACCTACTTCTCCCACCCCCCACCCACTTTAAATCACAGAAGTTATGAAACTCTTGAATAAATGCGTTATTAAATAGGTCGAATAAACCATCTTAGTGACTTGAAGGGACGTAAAGGGAAAGTACGAAGGAAAGAGAGTGATGAATCTCAAAGGTGAGCGGACAGACGGCCTTCGGAGATTGAACTGCGGCATGTGGGGTCACAACACAGAATCCTCTCTGCACTGGGAGCACCTTCTCCACGGTTGCCAAAGACCAGCGAGCCAAAGCATTCAACTATTTATAGGTGTTGCTTAGAAACAAACCAGCAAACTTTCAACACTTCCACTTCAAACATCATGAACACATCAGATTTGGATATAAACGGTACCTTAATTCATGCCTACATTATGGAAGCAGAAGAACTTACCTTATGGAGGAGCAGACTCTCTGTTTGAACAGGAAAAAAAAATATTTGGAAAAAATAGGGAGTATTGCTTTGTATTTTACAGTGACGAAATCTCATAGGCTCAAAATCTCCATTTTGTGGTATTTCAGAATGTCAGAGCTAAAAACTTTGAGGGCTTGTACGTGTTTCGCCTTCCTGCTTGAAATGACGTGGCTTTGTCTCAAAGGCCAAATGAAATGAAACTCCAGAGTGTAGAGGCCGTGGAAGAGTGAATCGCTGATGTTTTCTACATTTAAAGTAGTTTCTGGCATCAGTCCGCGTATCTTGAAATAACAAATCTCAGCAGTTTTTTTCTGAAGTACATGCGTGGATACTAATTCCGATATCACAGTCAGGACAATTTCGTTCTACCTCTTTTATTAGGTATTTATGTGATGAAAAACTTTTAACTCATTAGGTAATACCCTATTTATTGTTATTAGATCCTAAGGATGTTTTCATAAATGTATGCTTTTAATACAAATTATTTCATTTATATCTATTTCGAGCGATTGAATAAGGAAACCATACTAGACATATTGGAAATGTTTAGTACTTATACTGCTGCTTTTATCCCTGTAAATTTTAGTAACGTCATCAAAACCAATTACTTTTCAGTGCAAGCTACCCACGGTAGAGGAATGTATGCAATTAGCGGAGACAGCCCAGGCAGATGGTAATATATTTGAAACTGTGAAGTATTATTTGTTAAGTCAGGAACCTGAAAAAGCCCTTCCTATTGGTATTGATTACATCAAAGGTAAGTTTTTATTTGGTAGTATAATCTAAAATCTCATTTATTTGATCTTTTCATTAATACTGATAAGCAGCCTTAAAATCAAGCACTGGCCATCCTAATTTTTTTTTTTATTATGTTAGTCAACATACAGTACATGATTAGTTTTTGATGTAGTGTTCCACGATTCATTGTTTGTGTATAACACCCAGTGCTCCGTTCAATACGTGCCCTCCTTAATACCCATCACTGGACTAAATATAAAAAATAAAGAGATTGGTGATTGTACTGTATGGTATGGGAACTTGAGAGAGGGTAAATACGAAAATACTTGTGACCTAGAAAATAAGGAGGTAGTTGGGATTGACCAGAAGAGAATTACGTAAGTTAAAAATTGGATGAACATGTTTTAATACTTAGAGAGAATCTCTTATTTTGTTTTATTTTGCCAGAATACATCACTAGTTCAAATTGGACACTGGATACCATTTATCCTGTTCTTGACCTGTTGAGTTATATTCGTACTGAAAAATTAGTCTTGCATACATGTACTAAGTGAGTACTTTTTCTTCAAAATATATAACTGAACCTATGTAATGTTTTAAAATGGTTATATTGTTTTTAGTGTTCAGATCATGAAATAAGATCATCTTGGACAGGTAGATGCCCTTGTAGAAAAATTACATTTTTATTTGCTATTGATTTATTTATTTTAGAAGGAGAGAGTGGAGGGGGGAGAGGAAGAGGGAGAGAGAGAATCTCAAGCAGACTGGGGGCTGAGCTCAGAGCCCAACTTGGGGTTCAATCTCATGACCCTGAGACCATGACTTGAGCCGAAACCAAGAGTTGGACACTTAACCTACTGAGCTACCTAGGTGCCCCTTTATTTGCTATTCTTAAGAAAAAATACAGAGGTCAATTTGAAACAGAAATAGTCTTAGTGGTCCTGTTTACTAATACCCGGAGTGTGTATGTTTATATATGTGTTTGTGCACACACTCACACACACACACTCTCTCCCCTACGTGGCTCAAATAGGGCTAATTCAAAGCTTTGGGATAGTCTTAGTCCTCAAGAAGCTAGTGGTCCTATCTATTAAATAGCCACTGTGTGCAAAAAAGCAGATGAGGCTGGGGAAAAAAGTGAAGGTGCTAGAACGTGAAAAATAAACACCGTCCCTGCATTCAAGTGTAATTTAAGGACACTGTTGTCCATAGAATGAGAAGTCCCCAGACACGTGTATAGTTTGTAATAGAGGCTTCGCGCTATTTTTGCTTTAATGGTGTGTGTGGAAAAGATGATGCCACAGCCTTGGGCATCTTTGCCCAACTTTGACAAGTTTCCCTAGCAGGACGTGGACTGGGTATGCTCTGTCCTTTCCTAGAGTCTATACAATATGCCAGGAATTCCTAGATTGGGCCTAATGAGTTACTTAGAGAAAAATTTACATGAAGAGACAGTCAAGGAACAGAGAAAAACAAGAAGGCAAGAGTTAAACATTATTTGTGGTATAGCATAAATGTGTGAGTAAGAGTTAACTTATGAATAAAACATCTTCAATTTGGAAAATTTTCTAAACATATTTTGCTATAAATGTCACTCATCAAAATAGTACAAGTACAGTAACTACATGTGTGAGTAATGTTCTAGACCTCAAGTTATGGAATTAAAAAAATAAATATATTCTCTTTTAGAGCTCGAAATGAATTGCTCATATTATGTGGTTATATTGGTGCATTATTGGCTATCAGAAGACAGTACCAAAGCATTGTTCCAGCACTTTATGAGTATACAAGGTAAAACCGATTTCTCTTCTGTTATGAAATTTGAGAAATTCCCTTCACTAAGATAGTCTCTAAGTGTATCCTAGAAGGCACCAAATACATATTGTATGCATCCATTAATTCATTCAGCCTGTACTTTATAATAAAGCAGTGATAAACTATATGAATTAGAAGTGAATTAGGATGTAAATAATAGAAATCCTAATTCTAGCTTAAACACGTGGGGTTTCTTGGTCTTATGTCAAGACACCTGGTCGGCATTCCAGGGCTGTTAGAGCTGTTCACAGAGTCCATCCAGGACCTGAATTCTTCCCTTCTTTTGCCACTGACTTCCTTGGCTTCCTTACACTTGCTTGAGGAACCCAGGGTGACAGGGTCTGCATTCTAAGCAGGAAGCAGAGAAGGGTGACAGGATAGGGACCCCAAAGCATGAGGCATCCGACTCAGGAAGGAGAGGTCCCCTTGCGTTATATGCCTGCATCCCTTCAGCCAGAACTGTGGTACCCTGTTTTTAGAAGAAGCAGAGAAACTGCGTATTTTAGCTTTCCGATCTCTAGGGTAGGAAAAGGCAAAGAGGATTTGTGAACAGCGGGTAACTCACTGCTTTAGAGTCATGCCTGACAGTCCTCCCAAACCCCTCTATTTTCTGTCAGCTTGCTAATAACTTCAGCCATTGTGCTTAAAACTAGTTACAATCAAAAAGAAAATCCACAGCACCTTTGCAAAACATCATTTCCAAGTTGACTAGTTTGCTACACAGCAGAGTAGCTGACTCCTAAAAATGCTGAGTCTGTGGGTAAAAGCAGTTTTTCTGAGTGCCCTTCACACGGGGCGGACTTTCTGAGAGGAAGCTTCCTTCCCCCTCCTTTCTCTTTCCTGTCTCGGCGACTGGGCTGCCACCTGGACCAGGCTGAGGGACAGTGTGGAGTGGTACTGCCGAGAAACTAAAGGAAAAATCAGTTTCTGTGCAGGCAGCAGACCCAAATTCGAAGGCAACGTTTAACAATATTAAAATATCTTATGGGAGCAATAGCATGTACCACATGGGATGAAAATATTATTTAATGAAATATGTTCCATTTATATATGACTTGGGTAATGAAAGGAGAGAGAAAATGGTCCCTTGGAATAATATCAGAACTAAAAGGAGGCTTTTACATGTAAGGCGGGAGAGACTTGGGAGAATGTATCTAAACATGCTAGTTGAGAAGGAGAAATTAAGAAGGCCGTAATTGGAAGGAACTTCTTGCTTGCCTGATTATGGTGTCTGGTGTCTTGTCTTGTGCTCATGCTGATGCCCTCACCCCTCATGCTGGGCCGCCAGGGCTTTTCTCTTTGGCCCTCTTCTTCCTCCCTTCCTCTGCTTCCCAGCTTGCTCTCCCGGTCTCCCTTCACCCCTCTTTCCCCTCAGTTCTCTGCCCTTAGAAACCTCCCCATTTCTGGAGCTCCACCCGTCACCTCCGTGGTGGTTTTTATATTCACGCATTGTTTCTGTGGCTCACAGACTCTGGCCTCAACTCCGTGTGCTCAACGTGAAACTCCTCTTCCTCCTCAAATCTGCTGCTTCTCCTGTGTTCTCTCTTTCTTTTGATGGTGCCATTGTGTTTCTCTTGCCCAGAAGTACATGATTAGGTCCTGATTAATTGTTTTCTCTGACCACCATAGTTAGGGTCTGCATTAACTCCCTCCTGCCATAGCGCTGCATCTGCTCACCTGACCTCTGCATCTCTGTTCTTCTCCGGCTGCATCCCCTTCCTGCTGTGGCATCCTCCTCCCCAGAAGCACCCCCCTTCCTCGGTACCCTCCGGACTCCCCACTGTCCATCACAGAGCTTCCAGATGCTTAGTCTTACGTTAAAGGTGTGCAAAAATAGGGTTCTGACCATGTGTCCCCTTGTAACCTTCTCAGTTCCCCACTCCGGCCAAACTGAATTACTTGCGATCCCATACATATGGAAGCTGTCCCTGATAGTCTCTCAGCGTCCCCTCCACCTATTTACCCTGGATTTCCTCCTCACTTTTCGTCACTGCTTTATATATAGTAGATCATCTTTAACTACTGGACAGATAAAGTCCTATCAAGTGCACATTTGTAGACAGGGAAGCCAGGGTGCTTAAGGAATTCATTTTGGAGCTAGCCACGTTGGCAATCAAATTTTTAAGTTCAGTAATTTGGGGTAAAAGAAAATGGTAAGCCACTAGCCGATTTCAGTTAATATTACTACAGTGTTAGACCTGTGTGTGTGTGTGTGTGTGTGTGTGTAGGGGGAGATTTATACCTTTTTCCTCACCAAGTGTTATCATGGCCCAGCAGATGACAACTAGCGGGAGTCATAAAATGTACGTTACAGAACGGCTTACTTAACCCTTACTTCCTCTCTAAGGTCTTACGTTCTGATTCTATCTCCCGAACAGCTTTTACTTTTAAATTTCAGCTAACTAGTTCCTTGGAAAACACACTGAGTTTGTAACTTACTATAGAAACTAGGACTGGTAATTCTTTATCTAAAGCTTCCTAATTAATACTAATTATATCTCTTTTCCAGTTTTCTTTACACAGATGTTATGGATCACTGATGTCACTGTTTTACTGCCTTTTCTCACACATCTCTGTCTTTAAAGAATTGAAGTCAGCATTTCCGTTCCTTTGCACTAGTTGACATTCTTCTCTTGCTGTTCTCCCACTTAATCTCTTATTCCTCTAAAACTCATTTCTAATTCAGCCGTGCGTCGTACCATACAGCAGTCATGTGGGGCTATTATACACCGTTGCTTGGCTTGTCTGTCCATTCGCCACAATTCGCTTGTTCCTCCATTTGTTTGTTTACCTGTTTACTAGTTTTCCATTTTATTTTTTTAAGTTTTTATTTAAATTCCAGTTAACATTCAGTGTAATATTAGTGTCAGGTGTACAGTGTAATGATTCAGCACTTGCATACAACACCCCGTGCTCATCACAAGTGCACTCCTTCATCCCCCCCCATCTCCTATTTCACCCATTCCCCCCAACACCTCCCTCGCAGTTCACTCATTGGTCTGCTCACTCAGACCGTCATCCAGCTGATATTTACTGAACATCTTTGACTTCAGGGAACTTAAAGGCCAGATATACAAGTAAGCGTGCACGCGTGTGCACACACACATTCATATATACATATATTTTTAAATCTGAAATTGCAGTTATTTAAAGCTCATTTGCTTTTTTGATATTGTAGTCTTGGACGTCAGATGTTAATTTCTTTTTCACATGTTTTAGTCAGCTGTTAAAACATCGGGTGGTGTCAGTGCCTTTAAAAATTGAGCACCTTTCTGAGGAGTTGGATGCGTGGAGAGCTTGCACACAACCCGTCAGCCGGTGAGTGAAGATGATGTGAAAATTGGAATGTGGAGGTATTACTTAATATTATGGGCAAACTTGTTGAAAATGTGGATTGGCTCACTATTAATCTTAGCCAAATAATGCATCTTGGTTTGCTTAGCATAGATTCAGTAATAATTTACAATCCTGTTCTTTTCTGCCTTTTTAAAGTCATTCATTTTACTATAAATTAGGTCTAAATTGCCATCATTTCTAAATGGGGACTAAATAATCCTCAGGGACTGAGGATTTCTTTTTTTTTTTTTTTTTAAGATTTTATTTATTTGACAGAGAGAGACACAGCGAGAGAGGGAACACAAGCAGGGGGAGTGGGAGAGGGAGAAGCGGGCTTCCCACCGAGCAGGGAGCCTGATGTGGGGCTTGAACCCAGGACCCTGGGATCATGACCTGAGCTGAAGGGAGACACTTAATGACTGAGCCACCCAGGCGCCCCAGGGACTGAGGATTTCCGATTTAAACCTTAGTAATTCTTTGGTTCTACAAAAATGAAAATGTAATATCTGTTGAAAATATAGATCATCGGAAGAGTCTGCATATACTCCCCCTTCTGATTCACAAAAGATGGTTTATGCAACTTTACTAAAGAGACTACAGCAAGAACCGCTCGGAGGAATTGTTGGACCAGATTACGTGACTGGATCAAACCTGCCCAGTCATTCTGATATCCACATCTCTTGTCTTACGGGATTAAAAATCCAGGTATAGCCTAATGTAAGGCATAAATTGTTCATTTCCATTGTTGCCCTTGTTTCATTATTTTTAAAAATGTGGTCTTAAAGTAAGCATAATCTGAATAAAAGTAGGTACCTATAAAGAGGACTCTTGCCTAGTGAGAACATATTGCCCTTAATGCTCTATAGTTGGTATAAATGGTCTCTCTGTCCTTAAAATAAATTCAGAGAGATGGTCATGGTATTATTATCATGAAAGCAATTCATGTAATAGGTATACTTAGTAACAAATGCTAAAAATACATGTAGATCATATCCTTAGGGAAATTAAATAGGGGAGGACAAAGCAACAGTCAACACAGTTATAAATTATCATATCGCAATAGATTAAAATTAACTTTGTAGTCTCCATTTGTATTTTATAAACACAAAGAAATTAAGAACTGGCATATGTATATTGTTGATATACATGTTCTTACATTGACTTACTGAATTTTTCAGCAATTACAAATTATTGGGATCGATCATGAGGGAGGGCTAATCCCTAAGGAAGGTCCCTAGTGTACAGTCAAAAGTAATGATGGGGAATGATACCTCCCAGTGCCCCACTTCTGGGGAAAGTGGAGACGTCTTCATGGTCTCAGAGCTAGGCCAGGTGGAGGTGTCCACGCGGAGAAACCAAGCTGAGTCCACATAGACTGCAGATTGAAGCTCCAGTCCGGACTGAAAGAACACCACTTCCCAGAAAAATGTTCACATTTTACACAGTGGATTCTTCTGTTTCTAATGGAATGTGACTAATTACATCTCTAATACTGATATGCCAGGCCAATGGGGACAGCTATTTTTGGGATAACCACTTGAAGTAAATTAAATAGCTTGCTGCTTACGTAAACCCTCACCATAGCTTGACTTGAGACTATCAACTAATTCCGTCTTCAGAATATGCTAATATAGTCCAAAAAACAGGACACTTAGTTGTGTGCATGCTTTTTTATCCACTTATGTTCAAAGATAAAGAATCAAAGCAGTAAATTCAATAACTTATAATTAAGAGCAAAAAATATCATGCAATTTTTAAGAATATATCTTCAGTGCTACTTCCTGCCCTCCCTGTGCCCTAGTCCTTCCTTCGTATTCCTCGCGCCCCTTCCTGTTTCTCTTCCTTCGTATTCCTCGCGCCCCTTCCTATTTCTCTTCCTTCGTATTCCTCGCGCCCCTTCCTGTTTCTCTTCCTTCGTATTCCTAGCGCACCTTCCTGTTTCTCTTCCTTCGTATTCCTAGTGCCCCTTCCTGTTTCTCCTCAATATTCCTAGCACGCCCCTTCCTGTTTCTCTTCCTTCGTATTCCTAGCACCCCTTCCTGTTTCTCTTCCTTCGTATTCCTAGCACCCCTTCCTGTTTCTCTTCCTTCGTATTCCTGCTGCACCTTCCTGTTTCTCTTCCTTCGTATTCCTCGTGCCCCTTCCTGTTTCTCTTCCTTCATATTCCTAGCGCACCTTCCTGTTTCTCTTCCTTCGTATTCCTGCTGCACCTTCCTGTTTCTCTTCCTTCGTATTCCTAGCGCACTTTCCTGTTTTCTTCCTTCGTATTCCTAGCGCACTTTCCTGTTTTCTTCCTTCGTATTCCTAGCGCACCTTCCTGTTTCTCTTCCTTCGTATTCCTAGCGCCCCTTCCTGTTTCTCTTCCTTCGTATTCCTAGCGCCCCTTCCTGTTTCTCCTCAATATTCCTAGCACGCCCCTTCCTGTTTCTCTTCCTTCGTATTCCTCGCACCCCTTCCTGTTTCTCTTCCTTCACATTCTTAGCGTGCCCCTTCCTGTTTCTCTTCCTTCGTATTCCTCGCGCCCCTTCCTGTTTCTCTTCCTTCATATTCCTAGCGCACCTTCCTGTTTCTCTTCCTTCGTATTCCTCGCGCCCCTTCCTGTTTCTCTTCCTTCGTATTCCTCGCGCCCCTTCCTGTTTCTCTTCCTTCATATTCCTAGCGCACCTTCCTGTTTCTCTTCCTTCGTATTCCTCGCGCCCCTTCCTGTTTCTCTTCCTTCATATTCCTAGCGCACCTTCCTGTTTCTCTTCCTTCGTATTCCTGCTGCACCTTCCTGTTTCTCTTCCTTCGTATTCCTAGCGCACCTTCCTGTTTCTCCTCCTTCGTATTCCTCGCACCCCTTCCTGTTTCTCTTCCTTCACATTCTTAGCGTGCCCCTTCCTGTTTCTCTTCCTTCGTATTCCTAGCGCACTTTCCTGTTTCTCTTCCTTCGTATTCCTAGCGCACCTTCCTGTTTCTCTTCCTTCGTATTCCTAGCGCACCTTCCTGTTTCTCTTCCTTCGTATTCCTCGTGCCCCTTCCTGTTTCTCTTCCTTCATATTCCTAGCGCACCTTCCTGTTTCTCTTCCTTCGTATTCCTGCTGCACCTTCCTGTTTCTCTTCCTTCGTATTCCTAGTGCCCCTTCCTGTTTCTCCTCCTTCGTATTCCTCGCACCCCTTCCTGTTTCTCTTCCTTCACATTCTTAGCGTGCCCCTTCCTGTTTCTCTTCCTTCGTATTCCTAGCGCACTTTCCTGTTTCTCTTCCTTCGTATTCCTAGCGCACCTTCCTGTTTCTCTTCCTTCGTATTCCTAGCGCACCTTCCTGTTTCTCTTCCTTCGTATTCCTCGTGCCCCTTCCTGTTTCTCTTCCTTCATATTCCTAGCGCACCTTCCTGTTTCTCTTCCTTCGTATTCCTGCTGCACCTTCCTGTTTCTCTTCCTTCGTATTCCTAGTGCCCCTTCCTGTTTCTCCTCCTTCGTATTCCTAGCGCCCCTTCCTGTTTCTCTTCCTTCGTATTCCTAGCGCACCTTCCTGTTTCTCTTCCTTCGTATTCCTAGCGCACCTTCCTGTTTCTCTTCCTTCGTATTCCTAGCGCACCTTCCTGTTTCTCTTCCTTCGTATTCCTAGCGCACCTTCCTGTTTCTCTTCCTTCGTATTCCTAGCGCACCTTCCTGTTTCTCTTCCTTCGTATTCCTCGCGCCCCTTCCTGTTTCTCTTCCTTCATATTCCTAGCGCACCTTCCTGTTTCTCTTCCTTCGTATTCCTCGCGCCCCTTCCTGTTTCTCTTCCTTCACATTCTTAGCGTGCCCCTTCCTGTTTCTCTTCCTTCGTATTCCTCGCGCCCCTTCCTGTTTCTCTTCCTTCATATTCCTAGCGCACCTTCCTGTTTCTCTTCCTTCGTATTCCTCGCGCCCCTTCCTGTTTCTCTTCCTTCGTATTCCTCGCGCCCCTTCCTGTTTCTCTTCCTTCATATTCCTAGCGCACCTTCCTGTTTCTCTTCCTTCGTATTCCTCGCGCCCCTTCCTGTTTCTCTTCCTTCATATTCCTAGCGCACCTTCCTGTTTCTCTTCCTTCGTATTCCTGCTGCACCTTCCTGTTTCTCTTCCTTCGTATTCCTAGCGCACCTTCCTGTTTCTCCTCCTTCGTATTCCTCGCACCCCTTCCTGTTTCTCTTCCTTCACATTCTTAGCGTGCCCCTTCCTGTTTCTCTTCCTTCGTATTCCTAGCGCACTTTCCTGTTTCTCTTCCTTCGTATTCCTAGCGCACCTTCCTGTTTCTCTTCCTTCGTATTCCTAGCGCACCTTCCTGTTTCTCTTCCTTCGTATTCCTCGTGCCCCTTCCTGTTTCTCTTCCTTCATATTCCTAGCGCACCTTCCTGTTTCTCTTCCTTCGTATTCCTGCTGCACCTTCCTGTTTCTCTTCCTTCGTATTCCTAGTGCCCCTTCCTGTTTCTCCTCCTTCGTATTCCTCGCACCCCTTCCTGTTTCTCTTCCTTCACATTCTTAGCGTGCCCCTTCCTGTTTCTCTTCCTTCGTATTCCTAGCGCACTTTCCTGTTTCTCTTCCTTCGTATTCCTAGCGCACCTTCCTGTTTCTCTTCCTTCGTATTCCTAGCGCACCTTCCTGTTTCTCTTCCTTCGTATTCCTCGTGCCCCTTCCTGTTTCTCTTCCTTCATATTCCTAGCGCACCTTCCTGTTTCTCTTCCTTCGTATTCCTGCTGCACCTTCCTGTTTCTCTTCCTTCGTATTCCTAGTGCCCCTTCCTGTTTCTCCTCCTTCGTATTCCTAGCGCCCCTTCCTGTTTCTCTTCCTTCGTATTCCTAGCGCACTTTCCTGTTTCTCTTCCTTCGTATTCCTAGCGCACCTTCCTGTTTCTCTTCCTTCGTATTCCTAGCGCACCTTCCTGTTTCTCTTCCTTCGTATTCCTAGCGTACCTTCCTGTTTCTCTTCCTTCGTATTCCTCGCGCCCCTTCCTGTTTCTCTTCCTTCGTATTCCTAGCGCACTTTCCTGTTTCTCTTCCTTCGTATTCCTAGCGCACCTTCCTGTTTCTCTTCCTTCGTATTCCTGCTGCACCTTCCTGTTTCTCTTCCTTCGTATTCCTAGTGCCCCTTCCTGTTTCTCCTCCTTCGTATTCCTAGCGCCCCTTCCTGTTTCTCTTCCTTCGTATTCCTAGCGCACCTTCCTGTTTCTCTTCCTTCGTATTCCTGCTGCACCTTCCTGTTTCTCTTCCTTCGTATTCCTAGTGCCCCTTCCTGTTTCTCCTCCTTCGTATTCCTAGCGCCCCTTCCTGTTTCTCTTCCTTCGTATTCCTAGCGCCCTTTCCTGTTTCTCTTCCTTCGTATTCCTAGCGCACCTTCCTGTTTCTCTTCCTTCGTATTCCTGCTGCACCTTCCTGTTTCTCTTCCTTCGTATTCCTAGTGCCCCTTCCTGTTTCTCCTCCTTCGTATTCCTAGCGCCCCTTCCTGTTTCTCTTCCTTCGTATTCCTAGCGCACTTTCCTGTTTCTCTTCCTTCGTATTCCTAGCGCACCTTCCTGTTTCTCTTCCTTCGTATTCCTGCTGCACCTTCCTGTTTCTCTTCCTTCGTATTCCTAGCGCCCCTTCCTGTTTCTCCTCCTTCGTATTCCTAGCGCCCCTTCCTGTTTCTCCTCCTTCGTATTCCTAGCGCCCCTTCCTGTTTCTCTTCCTTCGTATTCCTAGCGCACTTTCCTGTTTCTCTTCCTTCGTATTCCTAGCGCACCTTCCTGTTTCTCTTCCTTCGTATTCCTAGCGCACCTTCCTGTTTCTCTTCCTTCGTATTCCTAGCGCACCTTCCTGTTTCTCTTCCTTCGTATTCCTAGCGCACCTTCCTGTTTCTCTTCCTTCGTATTCCTCGCGCCCCTTCCTGTTTCTCTTCCTTCGTATTCCTAGCGCACTTTCCTGTTTCTCTTCCTTCGTATTCCTAGCGCACCTTCCTGTTTCTCTTCCTTCGTATTCCTGCTGCACCTTCCTGTTTCTCTTCCTTCGTATTCCTAGTGCCCCTTCCTGTTTCTCCTCCTTCGTATTCCTAGCGCCCCTTCCTGTTTCTCTTCCTTCGTTTTCCTAGCGCACCTTCCTGTTTCTCTTCCTTCGTATTCCTGCTGCACCTTCCTGTTTCTCTTCCTTCGTATTCCTAGTGCCCCTTCCTGTTTCTCCTCCTTCGTATTCCTAGCGCCCCTTCCTGTTTCTCTTCCTTCGTATTCCTAGCGCACTTTCCTGTTTCTCTTCCTTCGTATTCCTAGCGCACCTTCCTGTTTCTCTTCCTTCGTATTCCTGCTGCACCTTCCTGTTTCTCTTCCTTCGTATTCCTAGTGCCCCTTCCTGTTTCTCCTCCTTCGTATTCCTAGCGCCCCTTCCTGTTTCTCTTCCTTCGTATTCCTAGCGCACTTTCCTGTTTCTCTTCCTTCGTATTCCTAGCGCACCTTCCTGTTTCTCTTCCTTCGTATTCCTGCTGCACCTTCCTGTTTCTCTTCCTTCGTATTCCTAGTGCCCCTTCCTGTTTCTCCTCCTTCGTATTCCTAGCGCCCCTTCCTGTTTCTCTTCCTTCGTATTCCTAGCGCACCTTCCTGTTTCTCTTCCTTCGTATTCCTGCTGCACCTTCCTGTTTCTCTTCCTTCGTATTCCTAGCGCCCCTTCCTGTTTCTCCTCCTTCGTATTCCTAGCGCCCCTTCCTGTTTCTCTTCCTTCGTATTCCTAGCGCACTTTCCTGTTTCTCTTCCTTCGTATTCCTAGCGCACCTTCCTGTTTCTCTTCCTTCGTATTCCTGCTGCACCTTCCTGTTTCTCTTCCTTCGTATTCCTAGTGCCCCTTCCTGTTTCTCCTCCTTCGTATTCCTAGCGCCCCTTCCTGTTTCTCTTCCTTCGTATTCCTAGCGCACTTTCCTGTTTCTCTTCCTTCGTATTCCTAGCGCACCTTCCTTTTTCTCTTCCTTCGTATTCCTGCTGCACCTTCCTGTTTCTCTTCCTTCGTATTCCTAGTGCCCCTTCCTGTTTCTCCTCCTTCGTATTCCTAGCGCCCCTTCCAGTTTCTCTTCCTTCGTATTCCTAGCGCACTTTCCTGTTTCTCTTCCTTCGTATTCCTAGCGCACCTTCCTGTTTCTCTTCCTTCGTATTCCTGCTGCACCTTCCTGTTTCTCTTCCTTCGTATTCCTAGTGCCCCTTCCTGTTTCTCCTCCTTCGTATTCCTAGCGCCCCTTCCTGTTTCTCTTCCTTCGTATTCCTAGCGCACTTTCCTGTTTCTCTTCCTTCGTATTCCTAGCGCACCTTCCTGTTTCTCTTCCTTCGTATTCCTGCTGCACCTTCCTGTTTCTCTTCCTTCGTATTCCTAGCGCACCTTCCTGTTTCTCTTCCTTCGTATTCCTAGCGCACCTTCCTGTTTCTCTTCCTTCGTATTCCTAGTGCCCCTTCCTGTTTCTCCTCCTTCGTATTCCTAGCGGCCCTTCCTGTTTCTCTTCCTTCGTATTCCTAGCGCACTTTCCTGTTTCTCTTCCTTCGTATTCCTAGCGCACCTTCCTGTTTCTCTTCCTTCGTATTCCTGCTGCACCTTCCTGTTTCTCCTCCTTCGTATTCCTAGCGCCCCTTCCTGTTTCTCCTCCTTCGTATTCCTAGCGCCCCTTCCTGTTTCTCTTCCTTCATATTCCTAGCGCACTTTCCTGTTTCTCTTCCTTCGTATTCCTGCTGCACCTTCCTGTTTCTCTTCCTTCGTATTCCTAGCGCCCCTTCCTGTTTCTCCTCCTTCGTATTCCTAGCGCCCCTTCCTGTTTCTCTCCCTTCGTATTCCTAGCGCACTTTCCTGTTTCTCTCCCTTCGTATTCCTAGCGCACCTTCCTGTTTCTCTTCCTTCGTATTCCTCGCGCCCCTTCCTGTTTCTCTTCCTTCGTATTCCTAGCGCCCCTTCCTGTTTCTCTTCCTTCGTATTCCTAGCGCACTTTCCTGTTTCTCTTCCTTCGTATTCCTAGCGCACTTTCCTGTTTCTCTTCCTTCGTATTCCTAGCGCACCTTCCTGTTTCTCTTCCTTCGTATTCCTAGCGCACCTTCCTGTTTCTCTTCCTTCGTATTCCTAGCGCCCCTTCCTGTTTCTCTTCCTTCGTATTCCTAGCGCACTTTCCTGTTTCTCTTCCTTCGTATTCCTAGCGCCCCTTCCTGTTTCTCTTCCTTCGTATTCCTGCTGCACCTTCCTGTTTCTCTTCCCCTCTTCAGGTTCTTTTTCTCCCTTCCATCTGCAGTAGCCAAATGACCTAGCAGATATGCTGCCTCACCTCTCTGCATCCAAACCTGCAATAGGAAAGGACCTACTAATTATCAGCTAGGACTAATGTAAATGGGCCGCTTCCCTCTCAGGATCTTTTCTCTCAACAGAAAATTAATGTTCTGGTTTTAACTGTGAAATATCAAGTATCTTTGAGTAGGAAGCAGTCCACTTCATATGATGGGTTTTCCAACGTCTAGACATGATTTAGTAACAACAAGCTGTATCATTTGAAATTGTGATTAAAAATCTGATAACTTTAGAAAATAATTAAGAAGATTAGTTCTTAGTTCATTTTGTTTTTGAAATCATGCTTTTCTTTCCTTTTTCTTTCTGAGAGTTTGGGAGAAATAGATTAAAAGGTCTTTTTTTGCATTTGGTTCTTCAGAACCACCCTTGACATGCAAAGTACCTGAGTAACTGAATCATAAATATGCTAGTACATCATATGATTGACATGATTTTAAATTATGTGTACACATGCACAGTAATATACTTTTCATCTTCTTGAGAGCAGTTTCAGAGCTTCTGGCTTAAATGATTTCCCCAGCTGTATTGATGTCGGCTCTATGAGTAAAATAGTAAAGTGTATTTAAATCTAGGCTGGGCATATATATGTCTTTATAAGATGTTAATTTAGTATTAATTGGCAGATTAGCAATACCTCTGTCATTGATAGCACTACTATATTCAGAGAATTCAGATTATAAAACCAAATTCTATTTTGAAAGACATGGGGGCATAATGTTAAGATATTTAAAATTTTTTCTATATTTGGAGCAGTTAAAAAATCTGAGTTTTCTCATAAGTTTCTATTAGCATTGTCTGAATGCTGCCGGTGGTTTTTTTTTGTTTTGTTTTTGGTTTTTTTTTTTTAATTAAAGGGAGTCTGTTTCTGGAAGTTTAAAGCATGTTGCAAATTTATAATCCCATCTTCTCTTTCCTCAACTCTGTGTACAGGGCCCTGTATTTTTCCTTGAAGATGGGAAATCCACTATCTCATTGAATGACGCTTTGATGTGGGCAAAGGTGAACCCATTCTCACCTTTAGGGACTGGAATACGACTCAACCCATTTTGACAGAAAGTTTTTCTCCTTGTTTAATTGTTTTTTTAAAGACCTTTTGTGGGTTAGTATTACCTTAGCCTTTGTTGTCCAAGAGCCAAAGGTTGAAGGGAGCGGGGGAAGTGGGGAATAGGGGTTGACTTTATAAATTATCTTCAAAAAATAAAATATTTATACAATTTCAAGGAAAAATAGACGTGTCCTTTATAAAATAGAATAGTCATATTTGGGATAAAGATAATATTTAAATTATAAAAGACTGAAAAATCTAAAAGAGCATATATAAGTTTCACATAGGTACCAGAGTTTCATAAAAGGTACCAAAATATTATATTATTGAAACATTGAAACATATAAAATAATGCAACACCTACAATAGTGACATAGAGTAAGTACTTAATGAATATTGGAATGACTGAGTGTCTTGAGATATCAAAATATAAGGTATGTGTGACTGATCTTCAAGTTATCAAACACCCATACTGTCCTCTATAAAATATATAGTACACCAATAGTTTCAGTTCATATTTAATGAAAGTTTCCAGTTATGAGTTTGATGTGTATCAATAAATGGATACACAGTCAAAATACTTCTGAGTTTTATTTTTTTAAAAGCATTACCAAGTTTTTTAACTGAAATTAAAATGTCCAATTATAAAGGAATAGGTTTTATAAGCATAACAAAAATTGAGGAGTAAAAAACACAAATGCAGTTAAATCTGTATGAGAATTTACATTTGATGATAATTGACTATTTTAAAAGATATTTGGTATATATGGATATTAGTTTTGATTAATGCATTTAATATTTACAGTAATTTCTAATCAATTTATATTAAGTCTGTAACATAATTTATTTGATAAAATTAGCTTCAAATAAATTTCTGTAAGTACATATTAGTTCAGATTTGGGGTATATTATAAATTCAAGTTTTTTATATATTAATTAAAAGAGTAAAGCTATTTAAAAAAAAAAAAAAAAGCCTGAGGCATGACTGCAAGTATTTCAGTTGTACTAGAATTCTGACTTTGAGGTCTATGAAATTAATGCATTACTGGGAAGAACAGTACTTTGATACTCAAGCTCTTCTACAGAATTTATAATATAGATGTTTTTGTCTAAAGAGTGAGTTCATATAATTAGAATAAGGGTGGTTTTTATTATCTTTAAACTTGTTACATTTAAAATAATTCAGGGGCGCCTGGGTGGCTCAGTCGTTAAGCGTCTGCCTTTGGCTCAGGTCATGATCTCAGGGTCCTGGGATCGAGCCCCACATCGGGCTCCCTGCTCAGCCGGGGAGCCTGCTTCTCCCTCTCCCACTCCCCCTGCTTGTGTTCCCCCCTCTTGCTGTATCTCTCTCTGTCAAATAAATAAATAAATAAAATCTTAAAATAATATAAAATTTTTCTTAAACAAGCTTCTTAAAACAGAAAACAATATATATTATGTATATATCTATTACATTGACCAGTTCTAACTCTCAAAAAGACATTATAGGCCTAAATTCTATTTTATAAAAAAAAAATTTAATGAACATTACAGAAGAGAATGTATGTGACGCATCACTAGTGTGAAGTATTTTTTTAATCCTTAGTGATATGCTTAACTCAAATTTTTTTAGATGAGGCAGATTTTTAATTAGTATATATGTAGTAAAATCTTTTCACTTAAAAATAGCAGTTGAAATCCTACTATAATTCTCTATTTTGTTTTAAAATAGATTAAGAAGCCTATCTTTGGTGCTTTAGCTACTTTAAAAGATCCATTGAGTGTTAAGTTATACATATATAAATGATTGTTTCCTTCTTTATTTTAAATGAATGAAAATGATATTTTATATATAAACTGAAAAAATCGCATAACTCTTTAGCACATGAAGATAATAGACGAGTAACCCAATTTGTGTCTAAAATCTAAATTGGACAGATTCAAATACAATTCTGTTACTCTGACTTCTACAGTGTTCTATACCTTATTATTAATTATAACTGTTAATTCTTCATAGAACTGTGTCATTTCACCATGTCAGTCTGCATCTGTTGTGCCTTAATATGAAAAACAAAGCCATTTTTTGAATTTATAAAAGGTTTTCCATTGTTAGATTTCATATGCATGAAAACCCAAACAAATAATATGAACTTATTTTACTACTAGAAGATGTCTATATTACTGATAATGTGGACAAATTATTTTCCAAGTTTAAATATGCTTTTATGAAAGAAGCCTCATTAGACAATAGTTTTAATAGCATTGGAAAAATATTTTTGCCTATAAAAATTACCAGGTCGTTAACAAAATTGCAACATCAAAATGAGTTATATCTTGTGAAAATATGATTTTTATGTCAATCAAAATTTATATATATTTCCATGACATCATCCAGAGGTGTTCAGGAACATGGTCGCATTAAAGCAATGACTTGTATTTTGTTGTCCTTATAAGAGGAAAATTGACACTTTTTCAGTCGTAAGTCAGAAGGCATTCTGAATACAGTCAAGGCCTCACCAATTGTTTGTAAGGTTTAGGGTTTCTTATTTAGTGCAGCAGTAATACAGAAGGCATCTTCACGGTCAACTCTTAGTAAGATTTTATTGTTCCGTATCTTTGAGATATTTATTCTTAAATAATTGATAAAAGTACTTTTATGCTAAATTTAAATACCATAGGACTGTGCTTAATATGGCATGTAGTTATCTAGACTTTTATGTATATATGTATGAATGTATTTCAGGTCCCCTAAATTTCAATAAATACTGCATTAAAACCAGATATGACAGAGCTAACTGCTCCAATGAGCATCAGTACTGTCCCCAAACCGCCACTGAGAGAACACTGTTTCTCCTTAAACGCTGGTTCCCCGGCATCAGAGAGGTGAAGGGCTGAGCTGCCCATATGGCTTTATTACCTTACTTGGAAACCTAGAAAAACCACTGTGGACTGTTCACGGTTAATTCTCCACCCATAAGAAACACTGACTACAACAAACCCTAAAATTCTTATGAAAGGGAAAAGCTTCACTAATGAATACAAACCGCGTATCTCAGAGGCTTCCATTCCGCGATAAGCATTCTGCCAACTGATTGAAGACTCTCCTAGAGGAACTGCTGTAGCTCCTAGAAAAGCTCCTTCGTGAAGCAAATGGCCTTCCGAAGATACCTGTAGTGTTGGCCTCTCAATAGAGCTCATCTTCAAGAAGCTCCTGAAGTTGCTACTTTGACTGCCTGCTACCTTCATTTACTTACTCCCTATGAAATGAAACCTATAAAACTAGTTCATATTTTCCACAGCTCTCCATAGGCCCCACGGGAATCTTGAGAACTTACCATAGGCCATGAGTGATTAGCTTTTTCAGGTGATTGAACATACAGTCAAGAGAAGTATAAATAAACTTTTTATATGACTGTTTACCCAAATCTAATCCTTCTCTCTGGATCTTTTCCCCAGCCAAGCTTCAGAAGACTTGTTTCTATAACCCTTTCCTAAGGAACTATATTTTATGGGTTGAAAATTATTCTCATAATTTTCTACTTTAAATTTGTCCCATTAGAATGCAAGGTTCATAGATAAATAACCTATAGCTGGTTAAGATATGCATTTAAAGTATACCTTTTACCTCAGATAAAACTAGATTTTAAACACACTCACTCCCAAGAAGTAATCCTATTTCATCAGGGCTCTCTTTACTTTCTTTTACTAAATATTACCTGCCAAAAATGTGAAATTAAACTGGGAAGTCTCTGGAGATAGAAATTCTAATAAAGCCAAGCCTTCAAAAATGCAGAACAATTGACAAGAGTTTAGCTGGAAATTGACAGGCATGTCGTGGGATTCAGTGTTCCTAATACTCATTCTCGGAAGTTGCAAATGAGACTGTTAATGAGAGAGCATAGAGACATGAAAAATTCCAGTTGAAGAAAAATTTCCAAATGTGAATGTAAAATTATAAGAATGTATGAAAGATAATTAATCTTTCAAGATACCAACTTGCTTTGGTTTCCCTCCAGCGAAATTATGGGGAGTGGAAGCAACTAGTAGAAAATGTTTAATTGAACTGAATGGTTTGCTAAACCCCAGAACCAAATTCCAAGTGAAGCACAATTTTCCTTTCCCACAACTCTTATCAACAGGAGGGACACCTACTTTTTAAAAAATGTTTCAAGTCAGGCTATTTATGGGGGTGGACAAGGTTCTCTGTGGGCCTATGTATAATAATCATTCAGAATAAATATTTTTATGAATGCATGTGATGTGTGAATATATATCAGGCAAAGTAGTAGCTCTTTTCATTTCTAATGAGGAAAATGTATTACAAAAACGTAGATTCACCATTCCTACAGAATTTATGAGAAATAACTGACTTGTCATGGTGAGTTATGTTTAACGGTACCTTTAAAATGATTCTTGCTCATTCTGTGTTATTTGATTTTGTATTTTTAACAGTAACTGGCACAGGTGTTTAATAAATGGTTATTGAATTAAAAAAGCATGTTCTGCAGCCCAATTATGGATGAGACACCACTTTAATTTACTTATATGTCCAAGACTAGGTAATTCTATCCACTTAGTATGGCAGGAGATGGGGCATCGCTTCTTCAAAGCCATTAGACGGGTGCTTTCCAAGCTTACTTTTCCTTGTTTCTGATAGATTTCCTAGCAGATTCAAAAGAATGTTTTCCAGCTTGCTTCACACAAGTTTCTTAAGTGGATTGCCACCAGTACCTATATTTCCTGGAATATTTAAATAAACAACACTAAAATCAGTTTGTGGTTATTAGATATCTGCACAATGACCAATGTTTCCAATACATGAAACATGCAGAATGATGGGCAGCAGGCTGAGCCCAGGTTCATCCAAATGCCTGGTAAACAGAATATTTAAAGCATACGTTATAGTAGCCGTAAATAAAAAATCTGGATGTCATCCACTTCCAAAAGTCATTAGCAGTGCCTAAAATACCCAGGGCTGATTTTGGTGTATCTGATACCGAATATGACTCAGTTATTTTTAGATGTTGCTTCAGAAAGCAGCTGAGGTAACAGTGCCATGGTTTTCACAGTGCTGAGATTTGGCAAATACACAGAATTCATAGTTGAGTTTCTGGAGCTCTGCACTGAAGCCTCCAAGCTGCCCAGACTCTTCAGGTTACTCAGTTGCAACGTGAGGAGCCAGTCACAGCTAAGAAATCTGTTTTCCCCCGGCCCAGTAGTTTGCTGGATGCTAGGTTTAGGTAAACAAATGGAGGAATTTAAGTGTTAAAGAAAAAACAAAAACAAAGGTAATGACCTATCTAACAATTTTCACCACCTTATCAGATAATTAGAAGCTTTTCAGATGAATGGCCTTGTCGTTTCAGTGTTGTTACGTGCAGTGCAATCTTAGATGGTAAAATAGGGTCCAGTTCCAGTGGTCTAGCTCCGTTTCTCCTTCCATTAACTTTCAAATTATGTTAGCTGACTTGAACTTATCACTCTACTCTTTTATTAGAAACAACTGAAAACAGGAGGGTGGGGGGATGGGGTAACTGGGTGATGGGCATTAAGGAGGGCAAGTGTTGTGATGAGCATTGGGTATTACACGCAACTGATGAATCACTGAACACTATACCAAAAACTGATGATGTACTATATGCTGGCTAATTGAATTTAAATTAAAAAAATAATTGAAATAGAACCCTTGAACAAATTTGGGGAGAAAATAAAATTTAGCAAAACAGC